AAATAAACTTATTACTGGGGTGTCTCAGAAGTAAAGAGACAAGTCAATGAAATTTATTTTTAATGAAAAATTGTATGTCAACTCTTATGTGTGTCATTATAAATTATGCATAATAATAATAAAAATACAATCTATATCAAATTTGCTCCTGCGATGGCTTTATAGCCAATTTTTCTCAAATTAATGCTTGTCTCATGACTGCTTTTCCAAAAGTTGTTGCCACCCGTTTGGCCAATATAGCCCATTTTTGTTTAAAAGTTGTCAAAGTTTTTGATTTTTCTGAATACCTTTTGTATTCCTTTTTACATAGTGCCCAAAACATTTCGACACCTCGAGCTTGAAGAGCATTTGGAGCATTGTTTTGTTTCGATATGAATTCGACGCCCATAGATTGCAAATATTGAGTGACTTCAGACTAGTAATGACACGACGCCATATCCAGCCAGAATACAACGTCTTCCCTCTGATAATACTTTTATATAAACGGTATTAATCGCTTCATAATACACTCTCGAAGATAAATTTGCGCGTTCATAGACCGTGTACAGATAAATGGTTCGGAAACATGGCCGTTTTCGTCTATAGCTTGCCAAACCAGATACTTCTTAAAAAATTTAGCCTTTGTTTTAACTTTTTCGCTGTAATCCATCTCACCACGACTGGTAGCGGGGAAATAGTGCTTCCCAGGAATATCAGAGGGGTCAATCAGTACACAAGTTTCATCATCGATTATGAGAATTTTTGTCAAAGTTTTTTTTTTGTAAACTCGACGGCAACCTCGCTTAGTAGGCACTTCTTGGTCTTTCACGTACTTTGGAGCGGACAATTTCACAAAAGCCTTCATGCCCAGATCTTGAACTTTAATTCTGGTTATGCTTGACTTAGATATTTTCAATTTGTCCCCCGCAGTCCTCACAGATGTTGAAGGTACTTCTTTAAAAACCTTTTTTTTACCTTATCTATGTTGCTATGATACGTTGCCTTCAGGAATCAGAATAAAATCAGTCTCATACCGTTTAATTATCCTGTAGATACGTGTTCTTATAGTCCCTTCTTGAGAAAAATGACGAACTGCCTCGGATTACTCATTATTCAAATAATACTGAATTACTCTTTTTGCAAACGATTCTCGTTCGGTTCGCTTTATGTTAGAAAAATATGAACACTCAGTTTTGTCTCTACTTATGGGACACCCTTTATGTATATAGGTTATATACATATATATTTACGTTAGCGCCTCGACAAAGTTAGGTCGTTTGCTGCCAGATGATTAAGAATTCATGGGATGTACTTTAGAAAAAGTCGTCCAAATTTGGATGTCGTTAGGCATCGTTTCTTTGAAATTTTAATACTTATTGGACGTTTCATGCTAATCGATATCCACTCTGTATCAGTAGCTACCTTCGCGGATTTACGAGTTTACGATGTTTCCCAAATTGTATACTAATGACCAGTTGTCAGCGTCACGATACCTAGATTTCTATTCCTTCCGATCGGTTATGGATTCCTTATCGATTGCGATCCAAGCCAAATGCTATAATTCTATCATCGCCCTTCAAATTGGCAACTTGTAACAGGCTACGGACAAACTCTATTCACATAAGTTTCTGTCTAAATAGTGATTAATTCAATTATATGTTTAAACAAGCTGACTGTGGTGGTGGACTGGAAGCTAACGTGTTGCACTCTAGCTTCTTTGTTGCACAAATGGGCGGGCTCGTCCGGGAAAGTATCACGGCCCACTAGCGCAGACGATCAGCTTGAAGTGGAAGTGTTATACTTTCGCGTTTCGTCTGGCGACTGAGGTAGGCAATGCATCTGCAAATCCTCAGGCGTTGTAGTTGTCATCGGCGGCGGAAATCACTAAACATCATGTGAACCGCCTGGACTCTTGACTAGTTTTCACACAGAAATAATAGCATTCCAAGGCTCTCTCTCGCACATTTACAAACGCCTTCTAAAACCATCAAGTAACCACCCATCGGCCACGGCCACCTAATCCTTTCAGGCGCACGAGATTAACAAAGGAATCCGCCGTTTTTGCTCCCATTTCTTGCCATAATTTGGTTCAATTAAGTTCTGGGCTTGATAAAAAACATAGACCGTATTACAGCACTTGCGAATGTTTTTGTGTTCGACGGACATTATAAATATTGACAAGTGTGAGTTGGAAGCATTTTCAGGGTTATGTATACGGTTAACCATCTTCTTATATATAAAAATGGATTGCTGTTCGTTAGTCTCGCGAAACTCGAGAACGGCTGGACCGATTTGGCTAATTTGTGGTAGGTCAGGGAAGGTTTAAACGATGAGAAATTATGGAAAGATTTCGTGGGAAATCGAAATAGCAATAATTTTATTTTCCCATACAAACTGTACCTGTCAACTGTGTCTGTGTAACCTGTCAAACGATTTTTGAACGCGTTCCGATTGCTCCATAAATAATTTATATGGCAAAACAACATGTACCGAGTCAGCTAGTGTTAAATAAATAAATAATTTTAGGATCGTTTTCTTTACTTGTATTGTGAAACCTTCCTTCTAGGCTGAATTTTTGATTGTTTTCCGGTAGTACCTTTAAGTATCTAATTACGAAACGGTGGTAGATTTAAAAAAAAATACTATCGATAGATGAAATGTTTGTTTCTTATATCGATGAATAAATTATTTTGATTTCGATTTTGAGAATTTGATTCGAGTATCAAGTACTATTTGTCGATTGGCGAGTCAGGGTCAAACTACACACTGCTTTTCGGTTTGGAAATCGGGCGTTTGACGTAAAAATAAATACACGCGATATCTTACTACACCACCCTCCTTGTGATCCACGTGAATCACGTGATTAATGGACGGCCCTTTGACCCTTCACGTGTTTGACGGATGGAACCTTTAACCTTTGTCAAAAGGTTAAAGGTATCATCCACGTTCTACTATTTTTTGATTACCTACTCAGCAGACGGAATACAAATTGATAGCATAATTGTTCCTTTTTTTACCGATCTTAGCACGGAAGTCGAAAAAAACAAAATCAAAATAGTCATGTATCGTCTTTTGCACAACATATTTTTTGTATCGCTACTTTACAGGTAAGGCTAGGTAATTTTTTATAGTGATTACCTAATGGTTGGACTTGCAACGTAAGTCAAGTTCAGCAACGAGTTTTCGGTTTTTTATCTGCCCATTCGTGCAAAACAAAAAATCTGGGTGGACTTTGTGAAGAATGATATGTCTGTGAAGGTGGTGAGTATGGAGATGACGACCGACACAGGAAAGTGGAAGGTAAGGACATGTCATCTAGTGTGGTATAAGGGCAGGAGAGGGAAGAAGAAGTGTCCGTTAACTATAAAACAATTTGTTTACACATGTTTTCGACAGTACTACATTGACAGAACCATGACAGTAGTACATTGTTTCGCCGCGATGCCGTACGTCGCGTCGGTCTTGTTTTGTTTGCGTGTTTATTTTTAAAAAGATCGCGCGTCACGTGTAGCGCTGAAATAACTCCCCCAGCGTCTATCTGCCACACGTGTATTATGTTTCAAATAGCAGAGCTATTTCGGTGATTTTCTACACCTGATCGATGCCGCCGTTGATCACTCTCTATTACGCAATTTTGTTCTTGGATGAACATTGCTCGGGTTCACCCAAGCATGTTCATCCAAGTTACAATCAATCTAGTTCGTTATTCTGGTTAAAACAGATTTTATGAACAATAGCGAGATAAACGACTGTTTTACAACAACGAATGATATTACATCATTTTGCACATACAATATACGAATAATGTAAAAAAAATTTTTATCACAAAATCTTTTAGGATTACATCGCTCAGAGTGCGGAAATAAATAGATTAACCTGGCCGAAAGACATTTATTTTTCTTGCTATCATTAGTTTATTATATATCCCGCTTATTATGTTTATACTTGATGTACGATAACATCGTCGTGCGTTGTCTTACCTCATAAAGCTTTTGCAGACACATAAACAGACAAATGTACGAACATAAACAGACAGCTCCGGAACAGTAATACAACGTGGTTTGTGCAAATATTTGTCATGGCGACGAAGCCTATGCGCATTTGTGCTCGAGCCGACGTTTCCAATTCTTTTTTATATTATGGACTTCTTTTTTTTCTTTTTCTTTTCTTTTTTTATGGAAAATTATCAGTTCTGACAGAGTGATTCTTACGATACGGGCACAGCGCCATTAAATAAACACCAGGAACTAAGTCGATAAATATCCTTTGTAGACATTAATAATATTATGTTAGACTTTAATAATATGTAAAAACTCAAAATATTAAAATCGAAATGTATTTTGTTTGTTTTTTTTTTTTTTTTAATTTTGTTAAGCCATATAGGTATAAATTATTTTGCGTATGTAACTGCTTATATAAGTACAGACACTGGTTCATTGATGTTATAAGTTCCATTATAAGATTATTTTCTATTTACACGACCACTTCTGAATGTGAACATGTCTTCACACACAATTTACAACAAGCGGAGCATAACCGAACACGTAGATATGTAACAGTTGCTTGTAGTCGATACAAGCCTAGTCCTGTGAGAGCATCGAACCGACGCCGACATCTAACCCAGCTTAATATTTGTTTACTTTTAAACATTACCCTACTGTAGGACATTATCGTGTGTTTTGAAGACGTTTTACAATCACAAATTTCACGCGTATAAACCAGATACGAAACCATTATCTGTAAGGTCCCACAAATATTAGTCCCGTATGTAAATCGAACTCACGACCCCCGGCGCCTGATATAAAAAAGATATTTTTCTCTTTATGTAAACATTTTTGTTGTTCTTGTTTTTATTTTTGTAATTTTAGTGATTAAGTTCTGTATCATTATTTTAAGGTGACGGAATAAATGTCTTTAATGTCTTTAATACCTTGGCAATTGCGTCACCGAGTCACCAAGAGGTATCTGCTGATATTACTTTTCTTTCGTACCGTGTTGTTATGTATAGCTATTGCCCGCAGGACTCCTGGCAGGACCCGAAGGCCGTCGACTCGGGCACCGTGATCAACATCCTCGACATTGGTAGGCAGACGTTCGCCAACGGCGGCGTGGTCTCCCGCTACCTCTGCGACCTGGCGCAGTGCCTCAACCTCGTCAAGTACGACTACAAGGATGTCGTGCCCAGTGTGAGTTCTGTACTTTTCCTATTCTGTTATGTAGGCGGCGCAGAGCAGCTTCATGTTGTGATTTTTTTTTTCAGCAGTTTTGTTTTTAGGAGATTTTTTAATCCTGTGTAAATTGAAGATAGATATCGTAGCATGTTGTGTACGCATATTTTTGGCCGACACTATGTAATTGTTTACCATATTTAACTTTATCGTGATGTGTATATTACTGTTTGCTGTTTTGTGTATCGAATAATATCAAATAAAAATAAAATTTACCACCGCTAGTCGAACCTGAAATCACACCGAAATCTACAACAACCTTGGGGTAGGTGTTGCGTTTTCTTCCACCGTGCCTTACCCAGGGGAGAGGAGAGAAGGGGCTGGTGAGGCGGCCAGCGCTGGCAGGGTCGCGACAGTGTACGAAAGCGTTCCCGTAGCCCTTCCGATGTGCGCCTGGGTGGAACATCGTGGGAGCATTTCCCGTCCCCCACCCCCCGCCGTTTAAAAAAACGGTGTTGCTTTAACCCGGGGAGGGGAGGCCTGATAAGTTCATAGGCGCGCCGCGGTCGCGGAAGGTTGAGTTTTTGTTTTCGCGTTTCACCGTCAGATGGGTGCAACGTGGGTTTTTGGAATCCCACATACCCCTGCGACTTACCCGATGCCGTGGCGCGGCAACCATAAAGGATTTTTCCCCACGTAAAAAACAGTGCTGCGTTGCCAACCTTTAAAAGAGTCGACCAGTCACTTCACTACGGAAGTAAGATATTTCCAGTTCAGGTCAGTCTTTTATTGGAATAGGTAATCACCCGTTATTGCCGGTTTTATTAGTTACTACCGACCAGCCACGGTTTCGCGCGGTTAAAGATCCAAGCATACATAGGGATAGAGAGACAGCGGGACGACTTTGTTTTATACTATGTAGTGCTATTAGTACACCGTAGCATTTTTATAATATCATGACCGTTCGTACTTCCTTCGACGACTAGACGACCTCTCGCTATCGCGGAAGTAATGTCTCGTTACGAAGACGTGCTCAGACGTTTGGGCGCTCTATGAAAGTCAAGGCTGTGTGACATTGAAACTCGCTAACGTTATTACATAACCGAATAGATGATGTTCTCATTAATAAATAAATGGCGTCGATGGCTTAATGGCTGCAGGGACGGACTTGGGACGACCTTGCGACGGAAGGGTCACGGGTTCTAATTCCGGCGGCGTTCACCGATGATTTCTTGATTGTAGAAACGTGAAACGTGTTTATTTTATAGAGAACTCTGTCCAATACGGACGAGCCATTATAGTTTATAAAAATATTGGTTGATATTGCGATCTCAATTTTCCATTTTTTTTTCTTAAAGCTTTCTGACTAAAACTGTTTATTAAACCGTTGAGTTTAAAGTTCGTGTAAATGATGATTCAGATTTTTGATTATAAATTTTTTTATTACCAAAAATGAGCTTTTTTATTTTCTATTAACGCCGGTGTAAAACCTGCATCTAAATCTAACGTAAAGACAATTTTAAAGAATAATACGATGTTACTAACAATGTAAACGCAAATAATGACATCACGACTTGGGAAAAGACCCCCAGATCCGGAACAGTTATCTGTGGTGTTGGTGCGTACAAATGTTCGTCCCGTGTGGGAATCCAACCCACAAGCCCCGCGTTGAAGCCAATAGTTTGACGACTGCGCCACTAAGCCATCGTCAACGCAGATCTAAGTTGGCAGAATAAAATCATGAGTAGTTATTGATATTGTATATTTTAAGTATTTGTGAATATGTGTATGTGCATTCTATTTTGTATCCTTATATAATGTAATATAATAATAATAATATACTTTTGTTATATTGGGTTTAAAATGTGTATATACGTAATATACTTTTATGGATACGTTTTAAATTTAATTATATATGAATATGTACCTATATAATTTTTGTTTCCTTAATATTTAATTTGAAACTTTTTACACCTGCCTCTTTTTCTCTCTGCGGCGCCCAAAAGTTGACTGGGATAGAATGCCTAAGGCATTAAGTCCGCCTGTACACAATGTTTATTTTTTTGTGTGTAAAGTTTAAATAAATAAATGAATAAAAATGTTATATCAAACTCCGTTTGCAGGTGGCGAACGACGAGCGCTTCCAACGCGCCATAGAGGACACGACGCAGGAGGAGCTAAGGAATGCCAACGGCGATTTGCAGCACTCCGACGGTCTCGACCGGGAATCGAACCGCTACTTCGAAGTGAGGCGTCGCGTCGAGGCGCGGGCCATGAAGGTGCTGCTCGACATAAGCTCGGCCATGTCGAACAACGTCCTCAGGTCGGTAGCTTATGTCCGTTAGTTATATCTCACTGATCGTATTAAAGTTTTTAGAAATTATTTTTAACAAAAAAAAACCCACTTCACACCGGAAACTAAAATCATTGTTAATACCTATAACATTCGAGGATTACCCTCGATTTCTCTGGGATGCCATCATCAGATCCGGATTTCCTTATCATGATAGCACCCTTGGGATATATTTCCTTTCCGACAAAAACAAGAATCATCAAAACCGGTTCATAAACGCCGAAGTTATCCGCGAACAGACATAAAAAAGTCGAATTGAGAAACCTCCTTCTTTTTTGAATCGGTAAAAAATGGACGAAAAGTTTTTCGCCGCTGCGAGAATCGAACCCACGTCTTATTCGAGTACACGCTCAGGCGCTTTAACAACTAAGCTAAGGTTGATTGCCACACCGGCGAAAATGTGATTGATCTTTTTTCTTGAAATATGTGCAAACAAGTAAGCGTTTGTCATTATGTCGCCTGAGACATCCACACCATACGGTTGCAGACGCTATGCCATTCCCTGAAGGAATGCAAAAGTACCCGGTAATGTTAGAAACATTAGGTAGTACTTTCCTCAGACAAGCTGGGCTATTCTCAATGTAGATGCTGTGATCTACCACAGTAGAAAAACGGTGTCTCCCTCCCTTTTTCCTTCGCTCTCTCTCTCTATGGTCGGAATCGTTTCAAATTTCGCTTAGCAACTGCTCCATCTCAATATATATGCTTTTTCGTAAATTAGTTTACTTTTTATGTTATTGAATCAATAAAACATCTAATCCGAAAGAAGGGCCTTCAGCATAAAAGCATTCAAATGTCGCAACTGAAGGCTGTCATCAATATACATACGTCGCGTATTTTCGTCAAATTATTTCCTTATAGATTTCTTATTACGCAATTGACCTTTCGTCGAATGGGAGCGATGGAAGGAGCCTTGTTAAAATTAGCCCAATAATAACGAAAATAGCTTAGCGTGTATTTTAAGTATTGTCCATTGCTTTACGACTGTCCCACATAACGATATAAGCCGACCAAAAAGTTGTAAGAGTAGAAATATATCCGCCATTTCTGCAAATGTACATTCGAGCGCGAAAATCGATTAACAACTATGTTATATCTAAAACTCATGTTTATAAAACCGCAAATCAACATTTTTCGCGAATGTACCTACGTGCAGTAAGACGTGAGATAGAAAGCGATTTAGTCCGCAGTGCGAACGAGAGGGAAGTACTTTTTCAGCATGCAAATGCCTTCGATACCTTTCATGTTAGTACAGCGCAGTGACCCGGACGAATTTCAAGGCGCAATTAAAATTAGCACGCTATAGGTATAGGCGATTAACATTGCAGAATCAGCGTACTTGTGGTAAACTATTAGGTTAATCGAATCCAATAGCCTTTTTACAAGCCAATACACTTGGCATTTTTACAAGCCATTTGAAGACGTTCACATTGTAATAGAATGGAAAAACTACATACTACTAATGAGGCAAATGACGTCTTAATAGGATATCATCATATTGTGTAATTCCTTGTCTATATCTTGTTCCTTAGTTGGCACTTTCTATTTCGCTTCATATTTCTGAGCTCTCCTGCATTACTAGAAATGATGATTTTAGCATCATCTCATTTTGAACTCAGAATCTGACTGATATATTTCCAAAAACGTCTTGTCACCGATTATAAATTAACTACAATACGTATTGCACAGTCTATTATCATGTATATAGAATTAATCTCGCACTACGATAGCACGTTCCGATGAGTTGTTTTTTGACTATATACGAATATCTTCGAGAGAGGCCTTGTTACTTAAGTGATACATAGCAGCAGTGTTATATCGCACTTTTTCTAATCCGATTAATAACAGTAGCATTGGAGGGACCTCCGGATGTTGCTACCAAAGCGAACCAATTATTACGGTCAATTGTCAGTGTTAATCACTGATTTGCGAGCAGTAAACTTTGCAGTCGGTGGTGCATTTGCTTTGCTATTGGAGTCGGCGAGGCGGGTCGTGGGTTCGACTTACAAGTATACACAGATGATAGTTCCATATTTTTCCGCAATGAGGATAAATGTCAGTACGAAAGATAGATAGATAATCATTTATTGCCCCAACTTATGCATATCGCACGTTTTCGAAAGGAACAATTATGTGAATTATGAAACGGATTTATCATTAAAACTGATATAACATAGAAGCGTGCCGGGACTGTTTGTTTATTTTTATAATGAATGGGCAATAATAGCATTCAATGCGATAACAGAAATTTAGGTAACAGGTCCAAACGCATCGATATCTCGACTGGGAAAATACCACGGCTTCACATACTGGCGAGTAAAGTAGCCCCCGCCCACTTTATTAAGATGTGGCAACGCATCTGCAACCCTACGGATGTTCAAATGTTCATGGGCGGTGGTTATCACTTAACATCAGGCGAACCGCCAGCTCGTTTACCACTTCGTCACATAGAAAAACGTGTGTGAAACGTATGATCCCAATGGCTGGACCGATTTTGATGAAATCTTCGAGCAATCATCTTGAGATTAGCTCAGTGAGAGGTTAATAACGAACCCATGAACAGATTTTTTTTGTAGTATGTAATAATAAGGAAAATTACGCGACCTACTAGGCGTGTCAGGACGGGTCGTAGTTGAGACGCGCCCTAGTCATAGCTAAGAGGGCACATTCCTTCCTATAAGACCGGCAACGCTATAGCAAGATGCAAGATTCAGACGTTCATGGGTGTTGATCACATCCCATTGGGTGGGCCTCCTGCCCGTTTGCCCCCTTATTTCGATTAAAAAATAAGTAAGATTAAGTTGTAGTTGAGACGCGTGCGTTATCGTGTCTAGACGCGTCCTCCAACACGTGCAATACGCGAACCGTTACTGTAATAAAGTCGTTCGCAGGCTGGTCGCGTGGCTCTGCCACAAAGCGATACGCAGGATCGCCGGCGGCGGCTGCAGCACGAGGTCCGAGTGCGTGGAGAGGCTCCGCAGGGCCAAAGCGGCGGGCCTGCCCCTGGTCTTCGTTCCCCTGCACCGGTCCCACTTCGACTACATCCTGGTCACGTTCACGCTGTACCTGACTGGTCTCCGGCCGCCCTTAGTCGCCGCCGGGGACAATATGCGGATACCGTTCTTCGGGTGAGTAATCTATACGGATGAATCAGTATACAGTACAGCTAGATCGGCGGCGGCAAGGTCACGTTTTGGACTGAGAGGTGTACTGACACCGGGCACCCTGCGAGCTGAACAAAACGAACGCAACGAGTATACAAAGAACAACAGCGCTCCACGGTGGTTCTCACCGCTGAAAGCTAACGCATCAGTGGTCGGTTGTAGATGTCACATTCGCATGTAGAGGCGTCAGCGGCAATGCATACATGTCTGCATGCGCATATGTCTTCATACACGCATGTCCACATGTGCGACTCTGTTTAGGCAGTGCCTATCAACCTCGTGGAAACGTGCTATGCCACGAGCTCTTTACGCGATGAAGCTTTATATAGTTCTAGGTTGAAAGCATAAACATGAATGAAAACGCCTCTGCTGATACGCAAATGGGCAGACTCGACCGGGAAAGTACAACGACCTCACAGAGGCCCGACTTTAAATGGAAGTATTATATATACTTCAGCATTTAATTGCGAGTGAGGTAATCTAGGCCCACTTTTGAATAGTTTGGCAACGCATTTTCAATCCACCAGGTCTTGAAGATGTCCATTGGTATTGTAGTCAATTGTAATCTGGTGAACCGTCTGCTCGCTTGACAACCTCGGCTCCTTAAATATTTCACGTCATAATTATGATGCGCAATTCGTCCTTAGCAACGTTTAAATAATACTGAATGTTTATCTTAATGCATAATAAATAAGCATTGTTCGCGTGTAGTTATGTTGCCAGTGTTGAGTTAGTTTCCTGTTTTTTCTCGTCCATTATATTGTCAAGTAAAAAAAAGATCTACAAAAGTCACCTAAAAGCTTAATAGCAATGATGCAATGATCGCAATCACACCAAAGAAAAAAAAACATTATAACTACTTAAACATAATTATACTTCCAAAGTTTCTTACAGATAATGCTTCTAACACTTATCTACACCGACGTTATTTTGTTTTTACGTAACAGGTAATTTCTGAAACCACTGAACAGTGTTTTTATTTTTCACTAGCGACCCTCCCCGGCTTCGCATGGGTGCAATGCAATGTATTACACATATGAACCTTCCTCTTGAATCACTATCTAGTAAAAGAAAACGCATCAAGATCCGTTGTGTAGTTTTAAAGATCTAAGCATACATAGGGATAGACAGACAGCGAGACGACTTTGATTTATACTATGTATTGATGCACAACAAAGAGACGTTTACATTTGAAGTGACATTTTACCACAGTCACTCACTTGTTTTGCCTTCCCGGAACCCCTCCACTAACACTTAAACTTTATGGTATGGTAATAAAGTTCAAATAGACTTTTAAGTATTATTACGAATCTTTTGTACGGGAATATAGAAAAGTGTTGTTTTTAGACTTTTCCAGACAATTTTTTAATTTTTTTTCTTTCATAAGAACCTTCTCCTGATAATAACAAACACAACACAAAAAAAGTGAAATCGGTCCAGCCGTTCACGCGCGATGGCGTGACCACGGGAAATAGGGATTAATTTTTATATATATAAGATTTTAAACTCATATAAGCCCGAGTTCTAATCTCTATTTTATTTAATATTGCTTCAAGCATTTACTCAAAACATTTACGAATTGTGTCCAACCATACATTTGTTATGTAGCACCACTCATGTCGGGAAATCCAGTTAAAAATTTAATTATCTTTACTTTTACTGGATTAGCGTTATAAAATCTCTAAACATAGGTTTAGATATTTAATAAAAGAATTCTCTGGTTAGTGCTAGAGCTAAGATGAACTTAGATTGATAAATTGTAAAAAAACTAAACGTACAAGAAAGTAATGGACAATAAAGCTAATACATTAATGCTATGGTACTATAATAAAAAAAATATGTCGACAATATGTGAAGTTTACCAATCCTCAGTGGGGCCGCGTAGTGGACTATGCCCTGATACCCAGCTGAAAGGAGGTTTCCCCGCAGTGGGGCATGTATAGGCTGTGGCTACTTTTATGGTACAGACCCGTTGGTATCAGCTCAGTGTCCGTGAGTTCAGATCACGGTGCCAGCACCAATGAAATGGTCAATCATAAGTGCCGAATAATCACGTGGTCAGCGACGATCGTATTTTCGAAACAATAACAAAAGAAAAACATTTCGAAGATATGTGAAGTCTTGCCAACGGGGTCGCGTGGTGGACTATGCTCTAATACCCTCTATACAGAGGAGGCCTTCTATACCCAGCAGTGAGACTTGTATACTCAAAATCAAAATATCTTTATTCAAATAAACGCTTGCGCGTTCTTATGAAACGTCGAATTTTACAAAAAGAAATGGAAAAAATGTTTGAAGAATTTACATAAGTTCGAAGCTACCACTGTAACTCCAATATAGGCTGTTCTTACTTTGCTTTTAACCCGACTGCGCCAGAATGAGGGTTATGTTTTTCAAGAGTATGTATGTATAATTATTTTGCACGCTCTGCAGCCTAAACGGCTTGATGGATTTTAGCTTGAGAGGTGTCGTTACATTCATATTTACTGTCAGAGTGACACTGGGTATAAAAATATATCATATATCAAAATCATTTCCCAATTATACAGAAACAAAGTCGGGTTTTTTTAGTTTTCTTTAATTATATCTACTTGTTATACATATTAATGCTGCAGTCATTCAGAGGAAATGTTGACTTTAAATTCACGATATTCAGACGAAAATTTCACGCGTCTCGAGAATAAAATAGCTAATAATTAAGTTATCAATTATTTCGTTTCGTCGTTTGCCATTTTAAATGATGTATATGAGAGATAATCCAACAGAATATGCTAAAAGGGTGATCGTTTGTTGAGTGGTCGAACGGGTTTAATCTCTAAATCATGTTCGTGATGTTTAAAAATGAATGATTAATGATGAAATGAAATTAACCCTTTACATTTGAATTTTTATGGATAAATGGACGAAAACTTTTGGTGCTACGGGTTCCGCTCAAGTTTCATTCAGTAGCGACTAGAACTAAAAATAAAAGTAATTAATTGTTACATCTAAGGTGGATCATAATGCGCACTAGATGGCGCAAGTGTTGCTGAAAATGCAATAGAGATATTGGAATAGATGTCGAGAGATTTCCAATCCGGAAGCAAGAATTAAATTTTTAATGTTTAAATAAATGAATTTAAAAGCGAATTATGCGCACAATTCATAACGCTAGTAAGATAATATTGTTGAAATTGGTGTTCAACTTGAATGCATCTCCCAGATGGATCCTGCGCGGCTGCGGTGCGTTTTACATCAGGAGACGCGTCGACGGCTCTGAATACCACGGCGACCCTGTCTACAAATCGGCTCTCAGGTAAGTCATATGAATGAATGAATGAATATTCATTTAGTTTCAACAAACACAATATACAATTCATTAATAACAACAAAACACAATTAATTACAACACAAAACACATATATAATTACGACATCGTTACTTACACACGGGATAAGTATTATTAATAAGTAAGTATCTATTGTAACATTGATTTTTTCTACTCTCATCCCACCTAGATGAGGTCGGCACAATTTTAAGACAGACAGGGGTCATAAGTTACCCTGTTTTGAAAGCCCAGGGCTACAGTGCTGCGATTAATCACTCCTGGCATAATTATTTCTTGTATTTACGCGATTACAATAATGATGAAACTATTTTTACGAGTTTATCGCGTTTATTTTTAGTTTTAATTTCCTTCGTTACGTACCCTTTACAGCGTTCATGGCCACGGGACCATGATAAAAATCCGTAAACATAGTTTCATTTAGCACTCCTGGCATATTTTATAATTGCATGTCTAAAGGCATTCAATATGCATGCTTGTATTTAGCACATATCTCATTGATTACGTATTATAATGTATCTTTCTCAGGGCATACATCTTAAACAGCTTGGGCGCCAACAACAACCTGGAATTCTTCATCGAGGGAGGGCGTACAAGGACTGGGAAACCACAACCGCCTAAAGGTAACCAAGCATACTTTTTTCTTTCTCTTTTTACCCTGACGCGTTAGACAGAGAACGGGAAAGTGTCTTAAAGGCCCAAACAGTTCATAGAGTAATGATGTGTGATGATTTCAGTACGCAGGAAATATGTAAAACGGAAAATCACTCCACAGAAATTAGAACCCACGACCTCAAAACACGAGTAGTGACCTTAAACACTAGAAAACGATTTAAGTTTTAGAGCAATCGAATTAATAGACTGTCTTAGAATAAGAATAAATTTGATCTCTATTCTAAATGTAATGTCTAAGGTCGACAATTGAAATTTAACTTTTGCACCTATAAAACTTTAAATAAATTATTTTAACAAAACACTGCAAAGGATTTGGTTTGTTTTTTTGAATTAATAAAAATCTAGAAAAATATCCAAAGAAACCTCAATGTCGTGTAATAAATAAATAAGATAGAAGAACAGATACAGAAGATATCAAATATCTTTTTACTTCGAATAAACTTCAAAGAACCCTAATTATTTTGTTCAAATATATTATATTTTTTATCCCCCAACCACACTCACCTATGCATTTCCTTATTACATCAAACATTATCGCGTCGAGATTGAGTGTTTGAGTGACCTTCAGAATTAATGGTCGAAACTTCTCGGATTAGACAATGCGCTGTGTCATTGTTGTTTTTAATGATTTATTCACGTTTCTCTCCGCTCTCGCCACGGACTAAGGAGACGAACGCTGCGGTAGGTAAGCTATTTCTTAAGTCATCACCAACGCAACTAAATTTTAAAATTTCTAGAAAAATGACGAAAGATTTTTCCCGATGCAAGAATCGAACCCACGTCTTCCTGATTCGAGCCCAGACGCTTTAATCACTAAACTGAACGGCCGATTGCCACACCGACGAAAATCTCAACGTATTTTATCTATGTTTGTTCATATTTTATTTTATCTATATTATATCATGTTTGTTCGCATTTTGTGCATCGCTTGGAGCATCTGTAGTTATATCCTTTACAAGTATCAAGAAGAAGACGCATTGACTAACATAATTAATTATATAACGGTTTTTTCAGAGTATTTTTTTTTATTTGTAATCTGGACGTTTCGAAAACAACATTCATTCATGGTCACACCGCGTATGACCTCATAATTAACGTACCTCAGTTAGTAGATTAATAAACAATTTTATCGTTTGTAAGTCAGTTTTTTTTTTTTTTTTGAAAAAACATCGTTTTCTTTGTATTCATAAATAAATAATGCATACATACCTGTATACGGAAGAAAATGCTAATGAATTTATTTTCGGTATACACTTAGCGATTTACGCCATCGTTTTTAACGTCGCGAGGATTTCGATTGACAAACTGACTGATTGAATTATCTTACAATATCTTTTTAAATAATATCAACAAAACCTTCGTGCTCTATAGACAGTTGCTACAAAAGAAAGGATGAAACAAATTTAAATCTTAATAATCGTTTCTAGATTTTAGCCTACCTTCATTAAATTATCATCTCGATCGTCAATCATCGTCAAAAGAAGGATTTTCTTTAGGCGACATTCATAACAGGAGATTTTAATCATGTTCTGCCAAACTAATAAATTTTTAAAGTTATTATTTCAATTATAGTATGTAAAGACGGGACTGCAAAATATGGAAAAGCAGAACATCACCTTATCGGATACCGTCATGTAACCCTTGTCTTTTGTCTAGATTTGAAATCTAAACAGGTTTTTAATGGTTAAAAATTCAAATAATTTTTGACCTTATTGAGACCAGAGAATCTGCAAAATTACAACCGCTAAATCGAATTGCACTGCGGGCTATATTTCTAACTAGCTGCTGCCCGCGACTACGTTTGCGTAGAATGCGTAACATTCAGACAGAAAAACAGGTATACATAAAATATGTATATAAATATGTCATTATGCCTATATGTCATTCTGATGTGTAAGCTATATTATTGTAGTTTCGTAAAAATCCATTCAGTTGTATTTGCGTGAAAGAGTAACAAACATCATCCATCCATACATACATACAAACTTTCGCGTTTATAATATTAGTAAGGAAGTAAGGATTGAACCCACACCCTTGCGCGAGAGGCAGGTCCACCGTCCATTGCGCTAATGGGGTCGTGAACTTGACGACTGTACCCAGCCGGCATCCTATCCGTGATAATGGACGCCTACCTGGACGGCACCATCGACGATGCGCTCCTGGTGCCGGTGACCCTCAACTACGAGCGGCTGGTCGACGGCAGCTTCGTCCGCGAGCAGCTCGGCATGCCGAAGCAGATGGAGACGTTCTGGTCAGCGCTGAGGGGCATATGGCGCACCCTGAACACCGACCACGGGGGAATCCGCGTGGACTTCAACCAGCCGATATCGCTCAAGGTCAGTGGAGGTCGCCGCGGGCGGCCCCTTTCATCTAGGAGTCTCTATTTTGACATTCAGCATGAAACTCAACCTTTTTTCTTTGTATGCACGTAAATTATAAATAATTACAATATGCGTGTACTTATGTACGCACGTAAAAAGTTACTTCTTTAGCGTAACAAAAGAAAAATAACCAAAAAAAAATTTCCCGTGCTCCAGTACTCTGTTTACAAAAACTAGACGTTTGGTTGGTTACAAGTTATTTAGTGGTTTCAGTAAATAACTTGGAATTATAGGTAAATGTCAAAAAGTTGTTACTGTTTGCAATGTTATCATTTTCCCCAATCGTCCACAGGTTCGTAGAAGTATGATTAAAAAAAATTGCCCACTCGTCCACAGGAACTGGTGACGTCGTTCCAGAAGTATAAATATCTCAAGGCGCCGGTGGAGAGGTGTCTGACGCCGCCCAACAACAATCTGGCCGTGAACCTGGACAAGCAGATCCTGTACAACCACAGCCACTCGAGCCTGTACGGGGCGGACGTCAGCACGGACCACAAGATGATGGTCGAGGCCATTGGGAGGCATCTCGTCTACGGTGAGAGCATAACTGTCGCTACGAGTCGGTCTTCGCTGTTGCACCAATGGGCAGATCCGGACGGGGGAGTATTTTTTTATGTGAGAATGTGGCAAAAAGCTGGTGTTAAGTGACTACCATCTCCCATTGACTTTTGCAACACCCTAAGGGTTGCAGATGTGTTGCCACCTATTAAGGATGTGGGCCCCGGTTACCTCTGCACATGTCATGGAACTTGTTACACGAGGCCTGGGCCGGCTGGGCGAGCTACCCGGAGGGCGACAAAGAATTTGTTAGTCCATTTCAAACGAGCAGATAGTCGGACGTCGCCAATGGGCCCGTTCCGTTCGGCAGACGCGGCGCAGTCGACGGCGCTGATGAGCACCAACGTGGTGGCGTACGCGCTGCTGGCGGAGCGGCGCGGCGGCTGCGGCTGGGCGGCGCTGCGCGCCTGCGTCGAGGCGAGGGGCGGCGCGCTGCTGGCCGACGCGCGCGACCTCGGCTACTCGGGCGACGCCAACGCCGCCCTGGCGCACGCGGTGGGCACTCCTCCCCCCGCCCCCCTAGCTCCCCTTGCCCCCACAGCTCATCCTCTTCCTCTACAATTCCCTTCCCACTCCACCTGGCCCCATGCTTTAATTCGTCCTTGTCTCCTTTACTCTCCCCTTTTCACTCTTCCCTTTGCCCCACAACACATACTACCTCAATGTCCCTCGCTCAGTTGCGCCCAATTCCCTTCTCACTCCCCCTTGGTCCACGCTTTAAACACGTCTACTTACTCTACAACTTGTCCTCACGCCCAATCCCCTTCTCACTCCTCCTTGCCCCTATAAAAGCACGCTTACTTACTCTACAAGAGGTCCTTTCCTCCTTTACGCCCAAGTCCCTTTTAAAGAAAGAAAGAAAGAAATATTTATTTGGTACATAACAAACAACATAAAATAAAAAATAACAATCAAAATTTAGACAACAATGCACCAAAAAGGTCACCACTCAGCATTACATCGCAAAAAATTTTGCGATTGCTGGTTTTCAGTGGAACCTGGAGGGATCGATAGATGGCGACTTTAACTATAATAACATATAATTTAACAATAACAGATAATTAATAAAAATAACAACAATCGAATTTAACGCCTGTTTGTATGTGTGTGTGCGCGTATTTTTTGTAAATTATTGGTAATTGGTAATGTTTTTGGATTGGGTTTTGATTATTTATGTTGATTTATGGGAAAATAAAAATATAGAAACAAGGAAAATAAATAAATATAGTGGTCCTTTCGCTTCCCCCCACTCTTATTTCTTTCCTCTATGCCTCTTTCTCCCTCAAGATGAATCCCATTCTCACTGCCTCTTGACCCAAGCTTCAAACACAACTATTTATGTACTAAATTCAATTTTCTCTATCCTTCTTATTCATTGACGCTGTAGCGCAGTTGTCAAGGTATTCGCTGGAACTAACGATCGATATATGTCATCGATATGTTTGCTTAATGTATGTTTACTTAATCCGTGGTCTAAGCCTATGATGTATTTAGAATCTAAACCTAAATTTAGAATTCACACTGCTGAATTGACAAGCCCTGTAATCCTGCGCTTATACAACAGGACAAAGGTTTCCCTTGCCTGTATTAGAAAGCAACTTGAAGGGACACTAGGTTCGCGGGTGGTCGACGTGGAAGCGCTGATCGTCAATTCCATGGGACCTGGTACAAAGTGCAGTGGCAATACGTCGAGGTGTTTAGCGAAAGTTTGTTCCCCACCGAGGGGGATGACGATGAAATTGCACTGGTTTGGGCATCAGAACCCTAATCTATTCCAGGGAACCCGGGTACTAACTAAGTGGTCTCGTGCTGTCGCAAGATGGCAAAGTGATCGAGGAGGTTTGTCCTTAAGAAGGGTGATATATGTGCTGAAGCGAGACGTGTTGCCCACAGCTGGACATGCTGGGCCGCGGGCTGGTGCGTCGCGACAGCCGGCAGGTCAGAGCTCAGAACACGATCGCCGCTGCATTGGAGCTCTCGTACTACGCCAACGCGCTCGTCGCCCACTACGCGGCGCCCGCCATCTTGGGTAAGCCGCCTGAAGCTGTGGAGGGTAGATTTAAAGTAGAACCGAAGTGTCCAGCTTTATGCTGGTAAATAATGGTTGAATCATCTGCCATAATGTTATGTTACGTTAAACTACAATATCGTAGTTGATATGAACTTACCTTTTGTAGACGGTGTGATGTGTCGAGTTGAAATGTTAAAAAAATTCCATACGAGTGTGTTCCAACCATTTATTTTCTTTTAAAAGTACACCAAACCAGGTGGTAATTTGTCAGTTCTCGTTTTTTGCGCCAACCTTACTAAAATTGCATTTTGACGGATACTTTTCAATACAGACAGACGGTTCTCCTATGTATACCTCTACTCCCATATCTACTACACTATAGTTTCCCAATCTTTGAGGGACTACCGTCCACTTTACATGGAGCAAAACTCTTACGCTCCCTCTTACATAATAGGTAATTGTAATAATTCTACGTCTGTCTATTATCTATTAATAATAACAAATTAAAAATTAATTCCCTGTCTCTCTCTTAAAGTGCTCCTCGTGCACTCCAGGGCCCCCACTACCGGGCGGGACCGCCCCCGGCTGACCCTATGGTCTAAACATACAACAACTGGTCATAGAGCACGAAGAATTTGTACGTCGACTTGTTATTTTCTGTCTCCCGAGCAGATATATTTCCGTCACGCTCGCACGGATGCGATGACTACCGTCTTAAAAGATCGGGAGAAAAAGAGACAGGCAATAAACGTACGAAGTTCTTCGTGCTCCGCCATCAGACCGTATCGACTTTGCCGCCCCGTGCAACCGCTTGCCACCGCTTACCACCACCTACTACTTACTATTTATATATAATATTGCGAGTATTTCACAATTGACACTATTTGTATTGGCGTAGCGGTTAGCGAACATCTCTGTCGCGCCAAAGGGGGTAGGTTCCGTCCCTGCTACTGGAATAATATTGTGTACTGAACATGTGTTTCTAATGTAAGAAAGTGACCGCTCGGACAATGAGCTGTCACAGCTCGCCACATCCCCTAAAGATATTTTTTTATCATTGTATAAGTGTCTAATTTTTTTATAGTGCTAATCTCTGCACTTAAGATTGAACATTAAAATTTGTAGAAAAAGTACGAAAAGATTATCGCCAACATAAAACAATGGATGCGCCAAGCATTGCTTCAAACGCTAATAAACAATGTAGATAAAAGACGTTAAGATTTTCTTCGGTGTGGCAATCAGCCGTTTAGCTCAGTGGCTAGAGCGTCAGGCCGTGAATGCCGAAGACGTGGGTTTGATTCCCACAGCCGCTATAATCTTTTCATACTTTTTCTACAAATTTTAATTGTAGAAGTGTGTAATATTAATTTTCACTCGCTACGCTTAGTTAACCGGTATAATAATAAAAAAATAACACATGAATGAATGAATGAATGAAATACGCTTTATTGTACACCAGACAAAATTACAAAAGTAACAAAGAACTACATAAAGGTACAATTGGCGGCCTTATCGCTTAGAACCGATTTCTTCCAAGCAACCATGTTACTGGGGATACAATGATCAGTGAGAAGGGTTTGAGGTATACGCTAATGTAAATATAGGTATTATAGATACATGTACACACGCATGTATCGCAATGATATAACGTTTTTAATGTCCAACCAACCAACCAACCGCTGACATGGGCGATAAATGAATTGCAGCGACCGCGTTAGAGAGCATAGTCTGCCAACAAGGTCCCGACGAGGAGACCGTGCGTCACGGCGATCTAGTCGAGGAGTCCCTCCAGCTGTGCGAGATCCTCAGCCAGGAGTTCATCCTGTGCCCGCCCTGCCACCGCATCGAGGAGAGGATGCTGGACGCCATCAACTCGCTGCTGGCCAGTGACGTCATCAGCCAAGTCCAGGTAGGCCCCCGCTTCTGAATACAAGCCGATAAAGAAGGCGCGGTGTCACACGATCGTGAGTGATTATCGCCTACTTTGGGCGTCCACAAGCTTTGGAGTGGTTAGACAAGTAGTGACTGTTGTAGTGCTCTAACAGTGTTTGCAAACGAGCGGACGGTTACCCACTCTAAGGTTAATTGATTGCCGCCACCCACTGACACAAAATAGCGTTGTGGCGTTGCCAGCCTTTAAGAGAGTGGACCCTGGCTACCTTACTCAAATGAGTAAGGTAGCCAGGTAGAAGAGTAAAGTTAAGTAAAGTAGTCATCCTCATCAAATGATGAGGATGACTACTTAAATTAACTTAACTCCGGTCTTCTAAAATACTAATTACTACCACAGCAAATATATTTATATTCGAAAATGGATAAATATGTGAAACTATTTTCATAAAATTACTATGCTTATTGTTAAGTGCGAAAGCCAATACTGCGGTCGGATGCTATTGCCCTCTTGTTCCCGCCTCAGTTGAAGACGTTCCATCTCCCCCCCACTGCGACGACTCGTTCTCTTTTATCAAATGAAGAATTTTCGTTAACCGATTTTTTCACTCGACTGTACAACCAAGTTTAGTCGAGCATTTTTTATGTTTTGTACCCATTGCGGAGCCTTGATATCTCAGTGTCCGGGTAATTTGCACTCGAGCAACCTTAGTACCGACTAATCACGTGCTCATCGTGTGGAAACCCGCACATTTTCTAAATAATACAAAATAATTATATCGAATATATGTGAAGTCCGCCAATCCGCAGTGGGGTCGCGAGGTGAAATATGCCATAACACCCCCCCGTATATAGGAGGCCTTTGCCAAGCAGTGGAACATATATAGGGTGTTACTTTACTTTTTACCTGATGTTGATTTCCAGGTGAACGGTGGTCTAGACGAGCAGCGGTGGTCGCGCCGCTTCGCGCAGACCTTGGACGATGATGACGAAGACAGGTCCGACCCGACGAGGCTCATCAAGTACAGGGTCTCGAAGAGCCCCGAAGCGATCGCGGAGAGGTGGGAACACGTTACGTTTCTTTATGCGAGAATGTGGCAATCGAGCTGGTGTTTCACCTGACACTGAGTGATACCGCCGCCCATGGACATCTGCAACACGCGCAAAGTTGCAGATGCGTTGCCACCTTTTAATAAACCTGCCCGGTTACCTCACTCACCAGACGCACAAGTGTAACAAGCCCACTTCACTCCGGTCTTCTGTGGGGTGGTGGTACTCCCCGGACGGACCTGCCCATTCGTGCAACATTGAAGACTGTTTCGTGGCCTCGCCACAGTCTAATTTTATTCACGTCAACAATAATTACACTCGACCTCAGTGGAAGAGAGCCTTAGCTTTATTGGGTTTTCAATGAGCTAGTGCGTTTTCCACCTAAGGTTACACGTGGCGCTACTACCGTGAACTTAAATAAACACATATATAGAGGATAACTTTTTAAATTTGTGTTACATTTACTTTAAACATCAATATTTACCGAGTTATTAGATTTTCCACAACAAATAATATTAGAACATCCTTACGTATAAAACTTTAACGTAAACTCCATTTGTGAAGCTCACAAAGCATATGAATTGATTGAATGACTAAAAAAAGAGATAAAACATACTGTTAGAGCCGTGATAGCTCAGTGTCTGTACGCTCGCATTTAATTCAATATAAAAAATACTCGAGTGCCGAATTATCACGTGCTCAGCGGTGAAGGAAAACATCGTGAGGAAACCTGCATATTTTCGAAATAATCACTCCGCGTCTATTCCGTCCGCTTTAATGGTCTACTGTGGTTTTTGTCAGGCGCCGTCTGCTGCTCACCATCCGCCCACTGCTGGAGGCGTACGCGGCCACGTGCCGCCGGCTGGCCAGCGGGCCGCAGAAGCACCTGGTCACCACCACCCTGGACTGCTTGACCGAGGAGTTCACCCAGAACAGGATGCCCTACGGTAGGTTCTAACCCAGACACGATTGTGCGCCGATGGCCCAACGGGTGGTGGCCCCGCCTCTTGTGCCAGAGGGTGTGGCTTCGATCCCCGCTGTCGGGAAAACATTGGGTGTCTCACATACTGTTTTTCTAGTGTCTGAGTGTGTATGTATTTATTTACAAAAGTTTGTTTAAGTATGTTTGTAAGTTATCTAGTACCTTTGTTAGTTAAGCGTTGCTTAGTTTGGGAATAGAATACGTTGTGTCAAAATGTGTCCTGAAATATTATATACAGTTTCTGTAATGACTCCGCGGTGCAATTGCCAAGGTCATCGACTTCGGCACCGGAGGCAGTTTATTACCACAAGAGGCAACTATTTGTGTGACCCATAAATAATTGTTTCGGGTCCGGGTGTTATTTTTCCACGTGAAATTTGTGTATGTAAAACATCCTTACAATAGAATAAGGTTGCAATGATTTCGAGGGGAAGACTAGAATAAATCTTCTAAGTTGCAGCAGGCGTTGAACTTGTACCCAACCCCTTCCACACAAAATACAAATCAAAAATACGGTTTTTATGGTGAAGATTATTTCTAGAAGAAACGATTTGATTAATGAACGTACTGTGGTTGACCCACGAAACAATTCTGAGTATAGCATGATATTGAGAAGGTGTAGATGCTTTGAGAAGGGTCTTCTAGTCTGTGAAAATGAACAGCCTCAGGGAATGCAGTGATGTAGAAGTTTTTATACTTGTGTTTCGTAAGTGAGGTAACCGAGGCGCACCCCCTTACTCCTAATATATTTTAGAGAAACGAAGTATCAAAATTATTTGTTTATGATTCCTAACTGCATTTCCGTCCGAAATTCTCATGACATTTGGTGGGAGTGCAAAGATAGAGGTCACTCATTTCTGCTCAAATCCAAATCTATTTCTGTCCTGCTCCCACTATAAGTCAGCAATTTTTTCAATCGAAGATATACCATACGCAGACATTGAGAATAAACACGCGATAAACCCATAAAATAGTTTTATTTAACAATGTGTTCAGTATTATGTAGATTCAAGTAATCACTGTGGTTGGTTTAACACTTTTTCGCATTCACAGGAGAAGCAGTTTCCACCGACGCGATAAGGAATTGCCTGAAACTGATGCGGCAATGGGGCGTCATCGAAATGTACACGGAGAACAGAGAGCGGATGGTCAGACTGGTCCCGCCGTTCGACAACGAGCAGAGTTTGAACGAAGTCTGTGCCAATGTGTACAAATTCAACATGGACACCCCCATACTAAATGCTACTAAGTGAAGCGGTCGTTACATAAGTGTTGTGCAAAGTGAACGTTGGATACACCAAAGCTCCCCGGAGCGCTGTGTTAAACGGACAATACCTCCCAGTGGGCGGTGACTGCCAAATGTGATCTTAGTATAAGACATCCGGTGGAAGTTTCTTCAAGTTTAGTACAAGAGTGCACTGCGGTATCTTAAGATAGAATATTTTCCGTGTATCTTTATGGGGACTTCAATAATGTGATTTCAAGAATGTTTTAGTATGATTCTTTCAACTTTTTTACAAGAGCTTCGATGAGACAGTGACTTGTCAAGCTGTGATAAGTGTTTTGCAGAGGTAAAATTGATACATGTTTAAACAACTTCTAGTTTAAATATAACTTCTTTATCTTTTTGAAATAAACTACGAATACAGTGCTTCAAATGCTCAATCTGTTCAGTATGCATATCGAAAAAAGTACTGTTATTTTTTCTGATAAGAATACCTCTTATTGATTTTTGGATTTTAAGGTACTCAAGAATATTCACTATGTTTATAGCCTGTGTTTTATTACAATATTGTAAGTAACAATTTTAACCTTCACACCACTGCCATACATATCATTACTGTTTTTAATTTAGGCATTAAACAAGTTTGAAAGTAATAAAAAAATTTTTTCAAAGGACATTAGAACATTCAAATGCATGTTAAGTGTTATTCATTACTAGAAATGCATTTTTCAATGCCAGCTTTTGTATATTATTCAATTAGACTTGTCAATGCAAGTTACGCATAGTTATTTAAAATAACAACAAAGAAATCTCTAAAATTTGATTAAAGTAAGTTGAAATAAATTTCCTTCAATTTGATGCAGCAAAACTGCACATTGTTGTAAGCTAATTATATCTAATAGAAACCTGATTATTTCCATGCATGACTTGACTTACATTGCCTTTTCAGAAATAAATACTTTCAAGAATGCCTGATATTTTCTTTAATAAATTGAATTGGACCAATTTATTGGTAATTATTAAAAAAAAATGTAAGAAACTTGTTGATTTTCATATTAATTAATAATATAGAAATGAAATTATATTTTCTTGAGATCAATTGGTAATTTTTTCTCGCCTTGTATTGATTTAAGGTGATATAGGATTGCATTTACGCTGTGCAATTAATAGTGTAGATGAAAAAGAATAAATATAATATGAAATCAACCAACAACAGGCTGTAGGACATAATGTTAATATATAAGGATTGGGTAGGTGTGTTCGAACATTGTATACCAGACTAGTATAGCGTACGGTATGTCGATTATACTTAAGTTGACCTTATTTATTGCAAAGAAGAAAAGCAATTTTATTTATGTATAAATGAATTGTAACTTTAGTTTGTTAATGCAACATTTTTGTTCCATCATGGTTGCGTGTCATTAAAACTCATTGATGCTTTTAAAATACATTGATTCTCATCACCGTTGAGTGTGTGTGATAATGTGGTCTTGTTTGAAACATTTAATATTTCCCGTTTTATTCATTTTTTGTAAATAATGATTCTTTAAAGTGGGACCATCTTAGAATCTTTATGTGGCATATATAAGATAAAATTCTCTCAACATCTGAGAGTATTCAATTATTAAGCTTATATTGTGTTAAGAGTAAGTTTCTGTTTCTATCACACTGAAATATGATTCTCATTTTTGATTCAAAGAGCCTATACATTCTGACTTTTATTTTCTGCTGTGTATACTTTGATTAAACTAAACAGCGCACATTTAGTATTCTGTTTCAATTGTACCAGAGATTAAAACAATTCAATGTTCACATTGGGTTTACTTCAATGAAGCTCAGAACTATAGAATTGAGAACCAAATTAAACCATGTCTGTCATGATTGTCATCCTTTACTGATATATCAAGGTCGCATTGCATTGCTTATTTGATAGGCAATCCATCTTTCATTAGTTGCAAGTAAAATTGTTAAAACATTAAAAAGTCAAGTGTAACATTTCATATGTACTTCAACTATCTAATATTAAATTGGTGTTCAATTTTCTACTTTATTTGAAGTGTGTATGCAAAAGTTGACAGACCCATGCTCGCTCACCTAATAATGTATTGGATTTTTCTTATTTAACAGAAAGTAGGATAATACATTGTACAAGATGTGTACAATTTCATTTGAAGAATTTATATATATTTTACATTTATTTAGGTATATTTAGGTATATTTCAGTAAATTAAAATTTACGGTATTTTGTACAACCTTTGTCATATTTTCTATTAGACAGGATGTGTCAATATATTAATAGGAGAGTGACATGCTTTTTTTTTTTCAACAAGACACTGTGTACTGACAAAGATGAGAAGAAAACCGGTGTTTAGTTTAATCTATATAATTTAATACCATATAAAGTTGTATTTAGTGAACCTTTATTGCTCAAAGATTGGAGCCAAAAAGCGTATGTTATTTATGTTTTCAATTGATCTGTGATGTTGCTGGCATATGTAACGTTGTGAACAACGACTCACGAATTCATTGAAGTGTTAAATAGTAACTCAATAATTGTAGGTGAAATAAATGGTTTTGATTAATTTGTTTTTTTTTTTTGCGTTACTCTTTTATAAGCTATGATCTTGCATTTAAGATTTTAATATGTGTTAGATGAAGGTTGCCGGCTAAGATGGAATTATATTGATAAAGAAAGAAAGAAAGAAAACTAAATAATTTACCGAAAAAAGCACACACACGCACATAACAAAAAATAAAAGAAATAAAAAAATACACACTAGAGTAAAAGAAAACAAAAAAAATCTGTACATAAAAAAACTATGGTGATATGAAAACAAAAGAAAAATAAATTAATGGAACATTGCATTCAAAACCGCTGATTTTCAGTACTGACATCAATAATTTTACAAAAATAAAAATAATTTTTGTGCTTCATGAATTATTGTTTGCTGCCCGTCTTTGTCCATTATTTATCATGAAAACTTCCGTGACACAAATTTTATTACCTAATGCGGCCCTGGGTCGGCATGTAACCCTTCGAAAATGGTCGTCGGGAGAAATATTCCATGTATATTCGATAATATTCGATGTTCTGAACAGATCGTGACTCCGTTAGCCTATGACAAACCGGGAAACTCGTACCTACTTGAGATAGATTCAAAACTAAAACTCCGATTTAGCTTTACCTTATTGTATTATAACTGATGTTTTTGCTTTTAGTCCCGAGACTATTAAAGCTTCATCTGCCGCAGATGGGCCGGTGGGCCGGTGGGCTAGCCAGAACCCATGGGTTTGGGCCCTCCGCTGTGGGTAGGGCCACGCATGTGCTCATGCGTGCGTTTAGGTATGGTGTGTCATCTAAGGGCCATCGAGGTCGCGGTTCGGACCGAAACCCGGATGGCCGTCGACTGTGCAATTAGCTAATCGGTGGCTGGGAGCGGTGAGAACCGCCACGGAACGCGGGTGTACCTTGTGTACGCGTTGTGTTGGTCTCGCCGTGCTCGGAGGCGAGGGCGAACTAGTGTGTTTGTTGTTGCACTAACTGTGGGTGTATTGTTATCCGGCGGGACCCTCGGCGGTGGCTCCGGCGTATCTAAGTCCCCTTCCTCGACCGGGTCGATTAGGACGTTTCGCGGGCGACGCTTGTTGACGTTTGGTCAGGTCTTTAAAATATTTGCGAATCGTCGGGAGTCTGCAATCGCTGTGCAGGTCGACGTTGCGTTGATACCACTGCGCACCGGTTGCGCGGCAGATGAACTTATTTTGTACTATTTGCAGCTTGTACAAGCGAGTAGGGTGCGTGTGGGCGAAGATCATGCATGCGTAGGACATAATAGGTCGTACGCAGGTCTTATATAATAATAATTTGTACCTTAAGGGCATTTTACTTTTAGCGTTAGTTAAATTGTGTAGCCGGCCGGAGACGAACGCGGCTCTATTGCGAACGTTATTAATGTGCGTAGTAAATGACATACGCGAGTCGAAAGTGACTCCTAAGTATTTGACCTTTTTTCTCCCAGGGGAGCGGTTGGCCATAAAGGGATATTTACCCCAACTTTCTGCATTGGCGAGGGCCATTATAAAGATGTGACGGGTAAGTACTTCTTGTGAAGTGAATCGCCACACTCTTTTCGGGATTTACTTCTATTCTCCATTTGCGGAACCAATCGCCGAGGCGGTCGGCGGCGCTTTGGAGTCGAGTGGTTGCTTTATCTCTAAATCCCTACTACCACTGCGACCTAGAAAATCTATTGTAGTCTTCCCTTCGAAAACATTGTCTCTTACTGTAAAATTTTTGTCTCACGGGAAAACATCATTTTATACATAGATACAGAGTCACAACACAACAAGACAACGAGTCTTGAAAATTTAACAAAAATTAAGTAATTTAGTATTGTACAGTAGACTGAACACTAACATCTGTATATGAGTTATTACCAAAGCTTTTGTAAAATATACTTTTGTGGTCCTATACTTTAAAAATATTCAAAATAAAATGTAAAAGTCATCTTAGATAATTGCGTTATGCAATTTTTAACATACATTAATATTTCTATCATAAAATACCGAATGAAAACTGATGTAGATGATAGAGCACAAATCATAAAGTTACAATTTTATCGACAAAATAAATGTAATTAACATGATTGCGAAATAGTGTATCGAATTTCAGATGCCCGTAGGAGCTGCAAAAATTGAACAGCGTAATGGCGGTAAATTCAGTAAATTTGTAAATTCGCCACTGCCGTATGTGTTATGGTAGATGGTTTAAATTCCAGTAGAAAGTACGGTACTTTCCCAGTCAGATAATAGCTACCGATCGAGCCGAGGTCCGGCCCTCTCGGGCACCCGCGAATCGGAATGCTAAACGCGTGTTGAGTGACAGCCCATGCCGAGGCCACCTCTCGGGGACCCTTGAGCCTGATCACTCCATGGAGCGCTCGCCAAAGCGCCCTAAGAGCTTCCCAAACCGGTGATAATAATAGCGTGACGGCCCGAGCCGAGGCTCCCCCGGGAGCTCTCGCCCTTAGTCACCATAACAGGTAATAATAATACGCCGAGGTTCAGGCTAGGCGCCTCGTGCGCCAGGATACCTCAAGCCCGTTGGAACTGTAAAGGCCCCTAAGGCCAACAGTGGCTCATTCAGCCCAAAAAAAAAAAACGGTACTTTTGTTGCGCGATTGACGTCTGCGGACGGTCCCATTTATGTCGGGTTGATTATTCGCTGTATTTACCGGGTTGGTAATTCGCTACATTTAGCATCAGAGCGTGGGTGATTTCCAATCTTCCGCTGAACCATTTGGTTAGCATTGTAAAGTGTTCGCGTTGCGCCGAGAGTGCAATTGCTTATCAGGTCGACGATACACTAATACCAACTAGCACTCGTTGTGAGGCAGAACAACTTATTTTGAACTATGAAGCAAGACGTGTAACAACTTAGTCTGTCCCGCGTCAGCATGAACGCTGAAAAGGGTTCGAAACGTCGGGAAGTTAAAATCAAAATAAAAAACGCGATAAAATCCGTAAACCAGTTTCATTTAACTCGATAAATATTGATGTTAAAGAATGTAAATGCTTAATTACAATACAATTCTAAAAAGTTTATCCTCTATATGTTTGTTCATTTATTGTCGCGGTTGTAACGACACGCTGTATATATGCAAGATTGCCGGGTGCAAACCCAGGTGTACGTCCCTTTATTCGTTGCCATTACCTCGCGGTAAAGGGAAACAATATGCCTCTAGCATATCAGCTTTTAAATATTTCAATACAAAGTGTCTTAGATGTTGTCGATACAAGCGCTTTTGTAAAAAGCCCGTATGGAGAAACCGTGTTCTGAACTATGCACTAATACCATGTATACATTTAACTAGCAGTTATTTATAACACGTAAAACTTATTGCTCACTCGCTGTGCTGAAATAAAACAGGAAAATCTGGATAATGAAAGTATGGACGGGACATTTGATAAATTAATATAACAGCGAAATCCCAGCGTCAAATCAATAGCCACGAACATTATATATGAGGCATTAGTCATTTCCGCTTTTTATATTAATATGTACGAGGAAAATATAAACGACAGTACAGTGCATTAAATACTTGAAGGTGCACCGCGTTTAACAATTTATTCGTATCCAATTTAATGTTATGTATACTAAATCAAATCATTGATTTGTATTAAGTTATAGTGCATCCGCTTTTATTGTCTTCTAAGTGTCTCTAGTTACTTTTTTCGTTGCTATGATGGTCGAGAGCCGGTGCGCTTGGCTTTTAGCTGTCTTCTATCTTATTTTCTTGCAAGAAGCTGCATCCTATATGAGAAGAACTCGTGAGTTTTATTTAGTAGTTTTATAATTTTTAGTTTTATTTATATAATCTATATATATATATAAGAGATTTCCACCGATAATTGACTCAACACGATATCTCTGGAACCATAAGGCGTAGAGACTTGAAATTTGGTAGGAATATACCAGATATATAGGCCAGCTAAGAACGAATTTTACGAAATGTTGGGTCCGCTAGTTAAGTATTATAAGAAACATATTATACTGGAAATAAAACTACTAAAACAGTGGGATGTTCCTTTGGTGCAGAGAGTTCAGAAAGATATGTTATAATCTTTATAAAGTAATTTAGAGCGTGCCCGTTTCCTAGGCATCTCATCTAAAGAATCGAGTTATTGCCATCACGCTTTACCATCAAGTAACTTGGGCACATTACTTGACGATGAAAGCTTACGCATTGCTGTAGGAATCCGTCGGGCCACTTCAATGCCCTTGTGGTGTCAGTGTAGACAAATTTGGTCTCTACAGGCTTTCTTGTCAAATAATTGCTGGCCACTTTTCCCGCCACGGTTCCCTGAACGACATCATCCGTAGGGCTCTTGTTTCCATCAATGTTCCATCTATTTTAGAGCCGATGGTAAGAAACCCGACGGTTTAACTTTGATCCCTTGGGAGAGAGGCAAAGCCCTTATTTGGGACGCTATCGCGTGTAGACACTTTGGCTGCCTCTCATCTAAGGGGTACTTCGGTCAGGGCTGGGGCGGCATCGGAGCTAGCTGAAGTAAGTAAATGGCGTAAATATGAGTCTTTATGTTTAGATTATGTATTTGTGCCATTTGCTGTTGAAACTTTAGGTCCGTGTGGTCCCCGCATATCATTTTTTTTTAAAGTTTATGTCCTAGGCTTAACGCCGCGGCTGGTGACAACAGAGCTGGTTCTTTTCTCGCTCAAAGGTTAAGCATAACTATTCAGCGAGGAAATGCAGCTAGCGTTCTTGTCACCATGCCGCGTGGATTAGGTTTACTGGATAATATGTAATTTCAGATAGATTTAATGTTGTAAATATTATGTTTAATGTATTTTCTTTTGTCCGTGTTATGTGGTTGTACAGCTTTAATCTCAAATGATCGTTAAGACCTCCAAAAGTTTTAGTTTGCGATGTCATTAACATACACACACACACACACAATTATTAGTCTATAAAGTATAGCTCAATGATACGGCGCGATAGCGATCCGTCCTATCGTGATAGGAATGAAGTATACATTAATTCATCACACCATCACAGTCTACGCATTCATTCTTCATCGCCCGGATATTGTCACACGGTATCAAAACCACAGTATGTCTTAATGGAGTAGACAGCTCTGGTCACTTAATAATAATAATAATAATAATACGACGTATGGCAAAATATTTAATTAATAACTTTGCAGGGGGAAATAATTACAGGAATCAGTTCATAATTAACATTTCTGTATTTAATCAAATGCGCAACGGGAAATTCGTAATGTACCTACCATACAAACGATAAAGTTACATAGTTCCGTGATTCATTGTTTGCCGCAGTTGCACTTAATGTTACATTCACCACAAATTTGGAAATGTATAAACACGAAATGTTTAAAATCAACGAATAGTGATTTGAATACCAAAAATGTAACCTCCCTGAATGTAACCTACGTTATATCGTAAAGGTGGGCAATAAAAACCCGATATTAGCTAGATTTTGAAAATTGGTGAAATTTAGTATTTTTATTGACGTATGTTTAAAAAATACAATCTTTACTTACTTTTACTTTTTTTTTTAAACGTTGATTTTGTTTTCAGTCCGTAGACAATTAAAGCTTCATCGAACGCAGAACTAGTGGGTTAGCCAGAACCAACAAGATGATAAGGCCCTCTGCGTTGGTTAGGGCTGCGCATGTGCTCATGCATTATGCGTGCGTTATCTGTGGTTAGGAATGTCATGTACGGGTCATCGTAGGTAGATCTTTACTTAATTGAACATAAGCAGCAAGAAGATTGAATTGTACGTGTTCAACTATGATTGATTTATTAATTATACTTGACTACATCCCATTATCATCGGTAGTAGACGTTACTAAAGCCGCCAGGTCGTCAATAAAAATAAAAATCTTTTAAATTTACAGCTTTATTGAAATAAAATTAACATCAGATAAGAACATACAAAAACAACAGTCTTATTGTTTCAGAAAATCACGCCAAAGAATTCTCAGAATACAAAATGGTACAGCCATCATTATACCATGGCAGAACAAAACGAGCGATATCCTCCACAAAAAGTACGGTTAGTTCAGTACTTATTGTCCATTTTTCTACCTTCTTCGTGTTTTTTTTTAATAAATATTGTAGGACACATTTTTAAACACAATTTTCTAGCCCCAAACTAAGCAACGCTTGTACTATGGGTACTATAAAACTGTTAAACAAACTTAAACTTACTTTTCTTTTGTAAATAAATACATATTATACATATATAAACACCCAGGCACTAGAAAAACACTAACACTTGTTGTACACCAAAATATTTATATATAAAAAGCAAATTACAAATTAATGTAAAAGGAAGTACATTAGGCGGTCTTATCGCACAGAAAGCGATTTCCTCCCGACTACCATTGTGAAAAGCTTTTTTTTTGCTAATAAAGAGGGAGGTGTACATGAATCTCTTATAAGCACCGGATGAAGGCATTTATAAATCAATGAGATAGCCAAAGATATCTGGAAAAATAAGAAAAAGAAAAAGGAAAGCATGAGTTCACAGTTCCAAGTATTGAGCTTTTACTCTTAAGTTTTTAAAAGAAAGAAGAGACTTAGCTTTTCGAATGTGAAGAGGCAAAGAATTAAACAAACGCACGGCTGTCACTGTAAAATATTTTTTGAACAAGGAAGAGGAATGGTTTATGGTAGGCTTCGGTGGTTAGGTTGAAATAGTTTACATTCCTGAATTAAGGGTACATAGAATAGCGCAAAGACGTCCTCTGCCTGTAGTACACGGCCACTAAAAGGGGGTGCAGGCCCTGATTGCCAGCTAGAGTGAGCCCAACTATGGCCATCAAGGGGACTTTAGTGAGTTTACAAGCTTGTCTCAAATATCCCTCCTTAATAAAAAATGGAACATGCAAATGAAATTAAAGGCCTTTTTCATTAAGGACGTATAGTAACTAACCTAGTAAAGCAACAGATTTCCAATTTGAAAAGAATACTTGATTAATTTGGACATTTTACCGGTGAAATTGCTTAATTTCATATCAAAGTTCGAGTGTTTTAAAGTAAAAACCTGTATATTGACAAAATTGGCGAGGTGCAGAGATACTCACATAATCATATTCTTTCAGACAGGGGAGCACCACTCGATGGTGACAATAGAAGTAGACATAGATGGTGAGAAGTTTGCGCTGGATTTGAGACTGCATAAGGAACTGCTAAGACGTAAATACGCCCTCAGTTACCAAAAAAATGGCAAGACCATACTGGATAACTCTTCGCCAAAGGTGAGAGTAGGAGGTGGGAGAGAACTATAAAAAAATAAATAAAAATAAAAAGAACTGTTAAAAAATTAAATAAGTCTGAAAAATAATGGTTTATTATAGAGAGTCCACCTGTTGATGATAAGGAATTTTGATAACTATAAAGTTAATGGGAAGTCTAGTAAATCTCGTAAGTATGTTAATAGAAACAAATAAGAGGCTAAGATTTTAGACAGACAGAACTGGGAAAATTCGTTAGCATAACCTCACTTATAATGACTAAGAATTACATATTTTCATGCAAGCAACAAGACATATGTCAGTATCATGGTGAAATCCGCGACAGACCTGGTTCATGGGTGGCAGTCTCCACGTGTCGCGGTGTTCATGGCGTCTTTTTCGATGGCAAGGAGTTGCGATACATACAGCCTGAAGGTCTGTATGTCTTTATAAATTTAAAATCTATACGTTGATAGGTTATCCTCCTGCTTTAGTCGAAAGCTCAATTCTGAGCGTCGTCATGCTTACGTCCTTCTCGCGACACAATAGTTAACTAATTTCGCGAATTTAACGTGATTGAAAGCCTCTAAAATATTTGTGTCTGTTTGTATACTTAATTGGTCAAACGATTTTATTTATTTCTTTACATTTTCGAGGACCTCTAAGCTATACGGCCCAATGTATTGGAGCACTCCTTCGAGACAGATGCTGGATGTTTACTTAGAAACTTTTAGCTACTTAGCATAGACAAGATTCACCTGTGTGCCGTGCAAAGAATGCATAACACACACCGCCGGTACCACATTTCAAAAGAGCTTTTACGGTCCAGGACTCTGCGCTATACATAAAAATTGCAAGACTAAAGTCCTGACGATATACCATTTAGTTCTCTTGAGTACGTTTCATTCTGTCTACACTTTTTCCAGTTTGTTCATCGCCAGTTTTTCCATTTAAACAGTTTTTCTTTCTCGTCTTCTGACCCACCTTTATTTGAGGTTCTCGAGCTGAGGTGCAAAAAATCTTGTACATTCTGAAATTGACCCAGCCTGAGATTTAAGATGTAGGATGTTGGATTTATCAACGATCGTTATTTTTGTTTTGGCATGATATATTTTAAGGCTCATTTTCCTTTTAATGCTGCTCGAATTCTGAAATTCGTAAAAGACTTTGGTATAGCGAAGATTCTTGATCAACTTTGACGTGCCCTGTATCGTAAAGCTGATACCAAAAAGCACAAGACTGCTGGGGTGTTGTGTTGTACTGGGATATTTTTCGACGATGAGCCGGATGTTAAGTCTTTGAGCTCTTTTCCTTTGGAGAATCTAGCCTCTACCTGTAAGATTTGTCCGGAAAGTATCGGAGTCTGTTGTTTATAATGTACAATTTTTTTGTAGCTGTTGCACTTTCAGGTCTTTAGGCTCTATTCAATTCAAAGTGGACAGGTAATGTTTTTTTTTTAATTTATGGTGCTTGTCTCTGCACTTAAATTGACACTTAAAATGTGTTGATAAAACTGTCGATAAAATTTTCGCTGCTGTTAGGGATTCGAATCTCAAACTTTCGGATTACGCGTCAGGTTCTAGCCACTAAGCTAAGCAGTCTGCATCCGCGCCGGCCTTATCAAATCGGTGGCTAGAATGAATTCCGCTTATGTCACTGTGGTAGAACCAATTGCATTTGTTTTTAATAGTCTGAGGAATTACCGTGGGATAATAGGTAACTGACGAGAAGTGGAAGTATTTATAGTAATGCATTTTGCCTTTTCAATGACATTTACATTTGCTTTACATATGCAACTCCATCTTTAATAATTATGTATGATGTACATTTATTATAATAACCGCCCTTATTTTATTCCATTAAATATATTTCAGGCACCACAATTGATTCACGTCATTTTATATATGATCATTCTAAACTTCGATCCAGTTTCGGAACAGAATCCTTACGGAACGCAATCAAAAGCGAAAATTACGTTTATGATAAAAATCGCTCCTCCAAGACGAAAATGGTTAGTATGGACAACTAACATAACAATAGGATAAAAAAGAAAACGTAATGTTATATACTTCTTCCGTATACATGAATAGGAAAATAATGATTGAATTATCCGACTTATTGAAACTTTGGTAAGTTCCACGCACGCCCATTAGGTTCCTGGGCCCGAAGAAAATGTTTTTCTTTGTGTGTGACAAACAGCACATCCTTTGCAAAAAAAAAAATACTGCTTTTCTTTACGATGGATTGCAATGACGTCTAATGGAACATCAATAAAAACATGTATTCATTTCAGGACAATAATTATACGACAAGAGTACCATATAAAGGCGACCTTCATTCTGCCTATATTGAATTGGTTATGGTTGTAGACAACAGACAGTATAGAAAAAGACATGGCAACTTACGACTCATCCAACAAGAAATGAAAGATCTGGTTAATGTAGTTAATTCCGTAAGTTGTAATTCTTTATTTAAAATCGAAACTAAAAGAAAATTTTTCGATTTGAGAATAGATTTTACATTTGATTTTTGATGTTACAGATTTTCGCCCCTTTGAATATTGCTGTCGCTTTGGTTGGTCTTAAAGTTTGGAGTGAAATGGATGAAATACATTTAAGTACATCATCTTTAACAACTCTTGATGCTTTCTTGAAGTACAGATTCCAGAAACTTTTATCCGAATCGCCAAATGACCACGCGCTATTGTTAACGTGAGTTCCTTGTTGTTTATTAAAAACTATGCGTAAATTGGAGTAACTTTTACAGAATATATTTAAACTAATGAAATAATTGTTCACAAATAATTACCGCCGTCCTTCGTAATGAGGGAACCAAGGTAAGCGAATTGTTCTACTTTTTCGTAGAACAATTCGCACAATCGCAAATTAGTTTAAAAATATCACACCAGATGATGTCGATGAAATATCAGAATTTAAACTAGTCGAATACGAGGTGACACTAGCGAACTGAAACTGAGGCACTCAAATTACGCCAATTTGTGTAATTAGATTGCACTTCTATAGACTACTATCTCTTTCCGTTTCGTACGTTCTATATCAGTTCCTTCTTTCAAGCCTAATAAAAAGCAATGATTACGTTAAAGTCTGAAGACTAACCTTTAAGTTAATGTAAAATGAAATCACTGTGGCTGTGGAAAATTAAAACATGATTCTTGCGAATAACAGAATAGAAAAATAGCCGATTATATCAGAAACATTTCTACTTGCGCGTTTACAGCTGAACTTGAGGAAAGCGGCAGTGATCACGCTGAGACCGTTCACAAGAAGATTGATTGTCAATTAAAATTGACAGTTCTTTACTAAATTACAGAAATCAACCGTTTTCGGATAATGTCGTGGGCAAAGCCTATGTGGGGCAGATGTGCACTCACAGCAGGTCTGGGTCGGTACTGAATCTTCATTCAGAGGTGCTCGGAATGGTGGCGGTCTCGATCGCCCACGAGATAGGCCACAACCTGGGCATGGCCCACGACACAAAGAGTTGCGAGTGTAAGGGAGACTACTGCATAATGTCCGACAATTTAAGGTCGTACGTCCCCGTTCTCTGGTCGAATTGCAGCTTGAAGTCTTTAGCGTACAGTCTGCACAAGGGTGTGGATCACTGTCTGAGGTGAGTTGCACATTATTTATCTGTCAGACGCTTTCAAGTGCAGCCTCAAATACTTTATAAGGCATCGTTGCACACAACTAAAATACGATACTAATTGTGAAGTTGATTTTGTCTGCACCTGCGATGGCGCGGCGAGCAAACTTAGTAGTTTTGTTTTTAGAGTGAAACGAGAATATCACTCTAAAAAATTTATCTCATCAATGAGTTTACTGAAAATAAGACGAGACATAACAAATCTAGAATCAAATAAATTCCAGGAACATACCGGAGCGATTATTGGAGTCGCCGACGTGTGGGAATGGTTTCGTCGAAATTGGGGAGCAATACGACTGCGGTGCAGGGGCCGGGGGGCACCGGGCAGCCTGCGAAGCCTGCTGTCACCCAGAGACCTGCGTATTGCGCAGCAATGCCAGCTGCGCAACCGGCCATTGCTGCAACCTCCAGGTTTGCGTCCTTCAGTCTACAGCCTATAGTAAAGCTAAACGAGCATGCAAAGTTTGTATTGTTACAACTATAAATAATATTTCCTATCACAAAAACTTTCGGCGGTGCGGGATTTACCCAGAAGCATAGCTTAGTTGGTAAAGCTTCCGAACCCAAAAGACGCAGGTTCGAATCCCGCAGCGGCGAACGTTTTCGTTCATTTATCTACAAAAACTCACATTTTAAAGTTTAATCTTGAGTGCAGAGACTAGCACTAAAAATGTTTTTTTTCCTAAGATGTTTCTGTCTCTCGAGCGGTAATTTTAAAGTTACTTAAACCGTACCGCTCATTTAAAATGTCGCAAATGTGAAGCCCTCAGTTCTAACTATACGGTACCCCTTTTTTGTCACCGCTACTGTGAATATGAATAAACCTATGAACATTTACAACCCCCCTATGGTGGCAGGTGAAAGGGTGTATCATCGTTACCTTACTCACCAATAGAAACGAGAAAACATTAAACTTCCATTTCACGCTGATAAAGTAAAGTGGCAGCCTATCTATGTATATGTATCCCAAATCCAGCAAAGACCTCCTCTGTACTGAAGGTATCAGGGCATAGTCCACCTTGCCCCTTGCGGATTGGCGGACTTTACATAATATGTTAGAAATATTTTATTATTTGGAAAATATGCCTGCTTAAAATGTGAGCAAAATAATTTAGATAAAAACTGAGCTTTTTAGCTTAGTGGCTGAAGCGTTTGGGGCCGATGATGGGACGTAGGGGCTTCTGCGAAACACTTTTTCGTCCATTTTTTTTCACAAATTTTAATGTTTCATCTTAAGTGCAGGGATTAGCACTACACTATTTTAAAACTTTTAATAGTGACATTATTATTATCATTTGTTAATTAAAAAAAAACTTTTTATTGTTAAGAAAGAGAAGTGATCACAGCTGCCCATGGACATGGCAACGCCAGACGGAATACAAAAGGGTTGCCAACCTTTTAATAGACTTTCTTTTATAGATCTTATATAAACAACAATTTAATGAAAACTCAGACATGCCAACTGAAACCCGTGGCGACTGTTTGCCGTGCGGCCAACTCCGAATGCGACCTGCCCGAATACTGCACAGGAAAGTCCGAGTTTTGCCCAGACGACGTCCACAAGGTGGACACCACACCGTGCGGGAATAACGAGGTGATAAAACACACAAACGCACACGCATGCACGCATACACCCAAGCACGCTCACACATGGCAGTATCCGCACATTTGCCATTGTTCAACATGATTAATTTTTTTTTATAACATAAGAAGATTGGAAACGAGCTGGTGTTTCGCCTGATGTTTAAGTGATAACTACATCCCACTGATATTTGCAACACCCGTAGGTTTGCATCTGCGTCGTCAGCTTATTATAATGTAGACATCGGCTACCTCACTCACCAGACGTAACGCAGAAGTAGAACACTTCCACTTGTCGCCGGTCTTCTACAAGATCGTGGTCGGGAGGGAGGATCAGGCAGGAGAGGTCTTTTTCGTGTCCCTACCACAGTTAACTATTTTTTTTGTTACTAAATACTTTGTTACTTCTATTTTAGGCTTATTGTGTCCGAGGAAAATGTCGCACGCACAGCTCCCAGTGCCGTTTGCTTTGGGGACCCTCGGCGGAGAGCGGTCACAGGTTTTGTTACGAGTCGAACTATAAACAGAGCAGTGCGTAAGTATTGTCATGTTCATTCGGGTCACTTTTCAGTACATTGATTATAGGTATCACAGGGGGTAAATGCGGAGGAGCGAGGGAATAATATTGTCGTCTTTTCCAACCCGCAATTTAAATCGATGTCTGTGTTGCTATACTGTTTTTATAAATATACATTTTATTTAAATGGTAAATAGTTATGTTATGCGATTTTTGCACTCGACAGTACATGCCCAAAACACGAGAAGAAGATTTAAGTTTAGTTCCGTGAAGAGGAATTGTTATAGTGTTATACTTCTGCGTTTCGTCGGGTGAGTGAGCGATGGACGACGGTTCTCATTTAACATCAGGTGAACCGCTTTCAGTAAGTCATCGCTTGCCACCTTATCACATAAAAATCTTTTCCTACGACCCTTCACTGCATTTCGTTTAGCGTAAATAAAATTGAATTAGTTTTCTTGTTGAACTGATGTCTTTTACGAAGTCCTAAGAACTAAACCTTAATGAATACAAATATTGCTAATTGTGCGGTCCTAGAGTTTACTTTAATATTTCTTGCCTTACGCCGTAGCGAAATAGTTCGCTACTTTACATCTTTGTTGTTATGTACTGCTATGTGACCAACGACCAATTGTGTGAACAATGGCGGTAATAGGCATAAGCTATAATAAAACCGCTTATTTAATACCTTTTCAGGGCAACTACTCTCAACAAACGGAATGAAAATAATGAGATAATTATTACATTTGTCCCTCTAGATAGGTACCAGATATATATCAACACGAATGTGTTAGAGGTATATCATACCCTCCATAGGTTTCGCAGGGATCAAACCTGGGACCCATTCTTTTAAATATTGACCGTACAGTCTAATTACTACTATTATATTACTATACAGTCTATTTATTGCTTTTTGCAGGACGGGAAATTGTGGCTACGATCAATTTAAAGAAACATACATCCCGTGCAAGAAGGAGGACATGCTCTGCGGCCGTCTACAATGCAAACAGTTTAGCCACGAGTTAGAGTTTGGTGCAAATGCAAATACCGGGATTCAACTGATTATTTTCAAAGGTTAGTTTCAGAGGTAATTTGAAAGAGTATTATCAATTTTTTTTAAAAGATTAACGCTTTACTTAAGTAAGGTGTTAATCCTAATCCAGTAATACATTATTACACTTTTATTATAATTATATGCATAGACATATATTTTTCTTTTCGTCTGGACAGATAAGATAGACTCTTGTAGCACCGCTGTAATAGACTTAGGTGTAGACGAAGACCCGGGAATGGTTCCTGATGGCGCCAGATGTGGTGAAGATAAGGTAAAGTGTGTGTTGAATAAAGAATCTAATATTTTATAAGCTTCCACGAGTTCAAATATCATCAGGCTCGAATGTAAGACAGTAACCCTAACACCACATAGAGAAGTTTATCCGTGTTTTTTTCACTAACGCGCTGCTTAGTCATCGATTGCTATCTCACCAGCCAGGTGTCGTTGCAGCCGCAGATGGTAAACACACTCAGTAGGCTCAGTATGCTTTGCATCATTATAGTACAACTCGCTTCTTTTTTAACATGAAAATTTATCAAGAGAGCAGGCGGTTCTCTTAATATTAAGTGAATACCATCGCTTATGGACATCTACAACATTCGAGGGCTTATAGATGCGTAGGCTAAAGTGGGCTCAAGTGGGCCCCGCTTACCTGACTCACCAGACGAAACGCAAAAGCTTAATACTTCCACTTCTGGCCGGTCGCCTGTGAGGCCGTGGTACTTCCCCGGACGCGCCTGCCCATTCGTGCAACAGCGGAATCCGTTACGTAATACCACCAGAAAGACCGACACCAAATTGTTCCATTCCTTACTGTACGCTTAATGAATGACAAAGCAAGCACAATTATTGGCAGAGCAACGCATCAGCGTCTGCTGTTGCACCGGCATGCTCTTCCGGGAAAGGTCCACACATTCAAAAGTTGGCTAATTATGCAACCGTACAGGTGTTGTGGTAATCACTCTACAACAAGTAGGAAAGGCGGTGAACATTGTGGAAATCTAGCTAGCTTTTCCTCTTCTGACAAAGAAAGCTCATCTTTTCCTAAAGTAAATTTCGACTTAATTCTTGACCACCCTCTTCCAATACGGACTTCTAGATCAGGTGTCATCCTTTTAACAATCAATATAAAAGTATAAAGAAAGGTACCATCGACTAGCTTCTACCCGCTGCTTCGGTCGCGGAAATTAAATGCTTTACGCTGAAAAAGTAACCGGTATGCCCGTCGATAGTTGAACCTCTCTACAAACTACGTAGTGAGGAGAAATCGAACACAAGAAACAAGTTTTATGGTGTTCAAATATATTCCCTAACAGATCTGCATGAATCATCAATGTCTTGACGTTACGTCTGTTAGAAGGAGAATCGCCAATGGGAATTCTATTTGTCCATCAAACTGCTCGCAGCACGGCACTTGCAACTCTAAAGGTAAGTAAGTATAAAATCGCGCATCTTATTCCCGACAGAAAGTAGAATTGGAAATAATAGTACTGGATTTTTAACCGAGGCTGTTAATCCCCAAGTGACTTGTATTTCTTGTATAAGAAATAGACAGCACTAACATTAAAACTTGTTTTACTCATATATGAAAAATGCTACCGGAAAGGAAGTCCGTTTCACAACCCGAAGAATGAAAGTGATTAGTGCTCTAAGTTTTGAATATACAAAATTATTTTTAAATAAAATAAGTAATACGTCATTGCCTCTTCTACTTTAAAATTATATTTAGGCCTTATATAGTGTTACCGAATAATCGAAATGGGTGTTCCCAATGGTGTAATCTCGTAAGCAGAGTAAAGTATGTGATCACCGTCGTTATAACGAATACTGATATAATAATAAATAATCATCATTATATAATATCTATAGAAGGTTCATATAATCAATGATTACCATTATGAATAAGGGAACAATATAGATTAGCCCTCAATACAAATGGCAAATACAAACACGCAATTTCTGTTGACTAGTTATGTTAAGTTAACGTATGCATGGTTTTATCCTTATTAAAATCGAATGGTACAACACTCAGCATCAGGAATGGTGCAAGTGTTTTCGACCACTACGAATGCGGACCTCCGGCAATCACCAGGACGATACGCGAAAGTGTGAATATTGGACGAATTTTGTAAGGCCACGATACCTGCCCGTTCGATAGGGCTCGTTCGTGCAGCTGTTATGTAAGCTGCTGTTGCTCTAACTACACTAAACAAACGTTTTGAACTGAAAAATGAAGGTTAGCACTGAAAATCAGCGCTGTGTTGAGGTGTTGACTTCCGGAACAGCATAATGCTGAGTGCTGACCTAATTTACCAATAGTAGGCTGATTTATTTTTCTTTTATTTTGTTTTGTTTTCTTTACTCTAGTCTTTATTTTTATTTTTTTTTTAATTCTTTTATTTTTTTGTGGTGTGCTTTCTTTTTTGGTAAATAAATTTATTTTCTTTCTTTCTTTCATCTTTCTTTTGATTGCCACTAAGCGAATAGCATTACAGGTAATTGCCACTGTGACGCGGGATTCGAACCACCGACGTGTGAGCGGCCGGGCGCAGGAGGCTCTTTCGACTCCGGACCCGCCAGCGACCCTGATGGTACGTCACCCCACCCTAACGGTCCCAATAACATCATTACAGCTGTTGGCGACGTACATATATTATGTAAATATTTGTATATTCTTAATTTTATTTAATTATTTCATGTTTTTAATATGAATTATCTTTATTTCATTGTAGAAGGTAGTTTTTAGAACATTGCATTTAATTATTGTTAAAATTGTAAGGTAGATTGATATTGCATCATCCTTCCGATCTATATATTAGGCGGGCAGTTACGTCTCTCTTTGTTCGTTTCTTTTTTGTTGTGTTCACATACGAATACGTTACGATGCAATTTAAAAATCTTATCGTTGTAAACGCCTACATGGTTGCTATTCGCGTCATATAGTTTTAGTTCCCCGTTTTCAATAAGGTAATTTTAGTATGTATTTTGTATGTAGTTAAACATCGTGGGGAAATTGGGCAACAGCTCAGTTATATTGATTACCAAATGGTAGGGGACATCACTAATAAAGCTCTACGGTGGCAACATTTTGTTTTATGGAAAAAGGAGGTAAACGAGCAAGCGGGTCACCTGATGGATAGCGATCATTACCGCCCGTGGGCACTTGCAGCATCGAAGGCGTCCCAGCTACGTTGCTGACCTTTTTAGCCTTTGCTATTGCCAGGCTTAAACACGATTTTATAGTAGAAAAATTCCAAAAGCAATCGCTGTCGCTTCGGGAATCGAAATGCGTCTTCCGGACGCGCTACCCGCCACATATTTTATGCTTTTAGCCTGCTTCATCTGTATAGGGAGAAGTCTACCTGTATACTTGGAACTGGCGGTTCGCCTGATGGTCAGTTACCGCTCCCCCTCGTCATTTATAGCCCGCATGGCGTTGCAAGTTATCTAGCCACATTCCTCAAGGATAGAATTACCGATTACCGCATTAGTTGGAATACAAAACTATAAATACTTGCTCTTGGCAAACTACGGTATGCACGATCGGAGCTGTTGTGTTGGCTACAGACCGTCCAAATTCGGCATGAAGAGACATTACAATTGCATCAATCCTTATGATTCACGTCACAGGGATCCAAATAAGCAAATCTTCGCTGTTTCACGAATGGACAGATCCGTCCGGGTAAATACAAGGAGCTTACAGTAGACCGTAGTAGAAGTGTTATACTCCTACGTTACTGATGAGTGAAGTAGCCGGGGCCCACTTTATTAAAAGGTGGCAACGCATCTGCATCAATATGGGTGTTGCAAATATCTTTATCAATATAAGATGAATAGCCAGCTCACTTCCCATCTTTTAACATTAAAAAAATACAGATTATGAAATGACGCCCCGGGCAATAACGCCCATACCTCTACAATCCTAATAATACAAATTCGATTGAAAAGTACAAACAGAAAGTTTCCATCTATTTAATAGTTTGTAAGCCGTGATAGCTCAGTTTCCGGGCGCTAGCCTCGAATTCAATATACTCGAGCAACTTGAGTTCAAGCCCCGGTGCCGGCACCAATGAAATTGTTAATTTTAAGTGCTGACTTATCGTGCTCAGCTGTAAAGGTAAACATCGTGAGGAAATCTGCATATTTTCGGAGTAATAAAAAAAACCTCTTTCGAATATATTTGAAGTCCGCCAATCCGCAGTGGGGCCGCGTAGACTATTCCCTTATACCCTCTGTAAAGAGAAAGCCTATGCCCAGCCACTGCTAAGAAGAACCTATACATGTCCCACTGGACATGTATAGGTTCTTCTTCTCCTTCTTCTTAGTCGTTCCCTCACTGCTGAGGATCGTGACTCTTATTTAATTGGTCAACGAGCTGTCTTCATCGGTTTCGCTCCGTCGTCTGGTGGAGTGCGGCGCTTATGGGCATTTACAGGTTCTTACTTTACTTTTAATAGTCTGAAATTTCTTTCAGCTTTGAAGAACTTCATGATTGCGATGTACGCGATATTCCTTGGAATATTGCCGGCAACCGTTTTATTATTGTGGCTCGTATGCGTTTTGAAGAAAAACAGAAAACCAAACTTCTCATATATATTAGACTATTTCAAACTGCAAAACTGTACGAGGTCCAACTTCAGAATATTCGGCCAACTCAGTAAATCATATGAAACGGAGAATGAAAGGAAGACATGTGACAATAATAGGAAGCCGAAAATAAGGAAGAACGACATTAAGGTTATAAGTGATTGTATCAATACGGCGAACTTAAGACACGAGAAATCCCTTAAAGTAGAACAGATGAGGGAAGTTGTTAAGAATGCCAAAGATAGCTGTATCATCGCTCCTGTTTGTGTCGATATAACTTCGGCCGATTCCACTGATGTGAAAATTGTTGAACATAAAAATAAAAAAACAAGACAAAGTTCATCAATACAAACGAATTCTTTAGTGAACACGAAAAAAACATCATCACCATGTTGAATGTATCCCTAAGTAAGAACTTTAAAGCTAACGTTTACAATGAAAGGCTGCAATCGACGCGTAAAGAAGCACTAAACTCATGTAATCATAAGCAAAAATCATTGGTAGAGACTATTGACTTCTCAACTAATTCGTCAAGTGAAATTATCAAAAAAAAAATCAAAAAAAAATCAAAATCATTTATTCATCGACATAAGAAACTTACATTTCATTTATCAATAGTCATATTTTTTTTTTAAATCTACCACCGTTTCGTAATGAGGTTCCTCTAGCGGAGAAGAAACAGGCGAAAGAAACTCCGTAGGTATCCTCTTTTTTGTAATTATTTTTTTTTCTTAACAAAAAATTCAAAAATTATACAACTGATTTTTTTCCTTTTAGAAATAGCTTGGGAGCGATCAACTCATTCCCAGGGGTTATTGTCATTAATGTATACATTTGTATTATAATAACCCTTTTTATAAAGTTTTTCTTTAATAAATTTCTTAAACCTGTTAATAGGCAGGTTTTGCGCATTTACTGGGATTTTGTTGTAAAAGCGTATACACCGCCCCATGAACGAGTTACTTACTCTATGGAGTCTAGTAACTGGCGTTACAAGCTTGTGTTTGTTCCTAGTGTTCACATTATGTATATCAGTATTCTTATCAAAATTATTAATATTTCTACGCACATACATATATATATTGAGACATCTACATTTTCATATATATATTGAGAGGCTAAGGTTAATATATTTATTTCTTTAAACTTCTCTCTCAAAGATGCATTCAGATCTAGATTATAAATAGCTCTTATGGCCCTTTTTTGCAAAATAAAAATTGTTTCTATATCGGCCGCGTGCCCCCATAGCAAAATACCATATGACATTATGCTATGGAAGTAACTAAAATACACAATTCTAGCCGTTTTTACATCAGTTAGACATCTTATTTTCCTTATAGCATACGCTGCAGAACTTAGTCTATTCGCAAGTTTGGATATATGGGGACCCCATTGAAGCTTTGCATCGAGAGTTATTCCAAGAAAGACAGTCGTATCCACAAGGCCTAACTCCCCCCCATTTATAAGTACATTGGTAGCACCCAAATGTTTAACATTAGGTGTTGAAAATTTCATACATTTAGTTTTATTACCATTTAATAGTAAATTGTTAGTATTAAACCAATAGACTATTTCTGACATAGCATTATTTACCTCGTCAAGTGTAACAAGCTGTCGATTGATTTTAAAAATTAATGATGTATCATCGGCAAATAAAACTATATCGTTTTTACTCCCTACAAAGTAAGGAAGATCATTAATGTAAATGAGAAAGAGAAATGGGCCGAGAATCGAGTCCTGCGGAACGCCCATAGATACCGTCGACCCAGAAGAACTAGCACCATTAATTACAACTTTTTGAATTCTATTAGATAGATATGACTTAATGAGGTCAAGCGCGGTACTTTTAATGCCATAATGGCGCAATTTCCTGATCAGTGTTTCATGATTCACGCAATCGAAAGCCTTGGAAAGATCACAAAAGACACCCAGAGCATCCTGTGAACTCTCCCAAGCCTCAAATATATGTTTGATCAGCTCTACACCAGCATCGGTTGTAGAACGACCCCTTGTAAAACCAAACTGGTTGTGATGTAATCATTTATTTAAGTTAAAATGTGTTAACAGCTGATCCAGAAGAAGTTTTTCGAAAATTTAACTAAGTGTTGGTAGTATAGAAATGGGTCTAAAATTAGTGGGGTCCGAAGTACTACCGGATTTAAATACAGGTATGACTTTACTGTGTTTCATGAGATCAGGGAATACGCCAGAATCTACACTACTGTTAAAAATTATTGACAAATAAGGTGCGATTGAATCTATTATTGAGGCAGTCACTTCAACGGACATTCCCCATAGATCTGCCGTTTTCTTAAGTTCAATGGTCTAAAACATTTTTATAATATCTTTTGCATATACAGCCTGAAATTTAAAGATTGTGGTGCAAGCACTTACATTTTCCTTAAGTAATGTCTCGGCAACAGCAGGAGAAGAATTCAGCGACAATGTAGTTAAAGTAGGAATCTCACTAAAGAATTTTTCAAATACTTCAGCTACCTCCTGATTAGTCGTTATAAATTTATTATCAATGTTGAGCTGGTAGTCAGACCTACGTGATTTGGTTTTTCCTGTTTCACTATTTATAATGTTCCAAGTCATTTTTACTTTATTAGAGGCATTTTTAATTTTATTTCTCAAATGTAATGACTTGGCGGCAAGACACACTTTTTTAAATATTTTTGAGTAATTTTTAACATAATCTTTAAATGTCTCAGAATGGTTGTATGACCTTTCACTGTAAAGTTCATACAATCTTCGTCTACTGCGGTGAAATCCTGCTGTTGCCCATTCATTAAAAGTCTTGCGACTGTTCAAAGAGAATGTTTTAGAAGTAAAAACGGCATTGTATTCGATTTGTATGAAATTAAATAATGAACTATACAAGGCGTTAGCATTGTCATAGTAGGGCAGCATAGGTAGTTTTTTTTATTAAATTACTTCTAAACTTCTCCTTGCGATATTTATTTATCGGAACAAACACAGCTTTCCTAGTATCTTGGATTTTACAGTGCAGAGGCAATGTAACAAACTGCCCTGAATGGTCAGAACTTAATTTATGTATTATTAGTCTGTGCAATGGTTTGACATCTGTAAAAATGTTATCTATACATGTTGCACTTGACTCTGTTATTCTTGTAGGCTCAAAAAACAAGTTGAAAAGATTAAATGATTTTAACAATGAGCAGAATCGTGCGAGAACTTCGTAAAATATTCAATGACAAAGACTAAACGAAATTATATAACTTTTAAAATGCTTTTATGTGACTTTATATTAATTTTGGTAATATGATGATGGGGGATTAAGATGTTTTAAATAAATGATTTTGATATCGACAAGGGCTGAACTACAATACCTATTTAGTAAAAAGTAAAATATAAAATATAATATATACTGATATAAATTTATTTACACTGAAAGTTTCATTCACGGTGAAAATATGACATCTTGATTTAAATTTTGGAGACGTCAAATTAAAGTTTGTTAAAGACGCGAAATATAAAGAATTTTCTACGATTATTTTAGTCGTTATTATTAGTAGTTATTAATTATTGTAGTCGTTAAGTGTAGTAGTGATGTGTAACTGCTTAGCATTATCGGGATAGTAGTCAAGCCATATCCTGTTCGTAAATTTAACAAATACATTTTTATGAACAATTAATAACAAAACCGACTTCAAATATCTCACTCACTATACATTCTCTAAATGAGATTGAGGAGTTCCCTGTTTCTAGTATATTCGGATTTGAAGGTGCTTTACCAATTAAATTAATATGGAACCATATGAGAGATGAACCGAACACAATGCAAAAAGAATTTATAAAATTGTTTCATAAATGTTGTTGGTGCAGTTCTGTAGTAACAAATACAAAGATAGTACTCTGAGAACCTACTCCTTTTTTACAATCGGTTAAAAAGCCGCTGCTGATAGTAGAGTGCATATTTCTTATGGTGATGTATATTACTGGATTAGCCGTTACCTGTGATACTTGAGCCTTAGGATGGATATGAATTTATCTTATCCTTTTACGCGAGCCTACCTTTTAAACGAGCAAATCTTGTATATACATATACAAGATTATATATATACAGCGTGTCGTTACCATCGCGACAATAAATGAACACACGTCTAACGCTACTTGCCAATAATCATAAAAAAATATTAACGTTAAACAAAATCCATAATTAAAAAAAATATTTTTCAAACAAACTAATTAAGTAAAAAAGAAACAGAATTTGTAACATCCTATACAACTCGCGCCACAGCGTCGCATTACAAGCCTCTCCTTCTAACTGTATGTTTTGTCTCTTTTAAATTCATTCAACCCATTCATATGCTTTGTGACCTTTACAAATGAACTTTACGTTACGCTTTTAGAGGTAAGGGTGTTCTTAAATTCTTTGTTTTGGAAAATTTAATAACTCTGTAAATATTGATGTTTAAAGAATTTAAATGTTTAATACAACTTTATAAAGTAATACCCTATATGTGTGTTCATTTATTGTCGCTATGGTAACGACCCGCTGTATATATATGTATATTTATACATATATAACTATTATATAAAATTCTCGTGTCACGGGGTTCGAACTTGAACTCTTCCGCAACGGCTCGACCGATTTTTACCAAATTTTATATGCGTATTCAGTAGGTCTGAGAATCGGCTACTATCTATTTTTCGTCCCCCTAAATGTTAAGGGGGTAGTCCACCCCTAAATTTTATTTTTTTATTTTTTATATAAAACTTTTTGTTTCTATTTTTTTATGACAGCATATTTTTTTTGTTTTTTATTTTTTTTATTTCCAAAATACATGATTTATCAAAAAAAAAACCGTACAGGCCCTCCAGGTACGTGGTATTTATGGAAGGGATAGCAAAATCATTTTTATGTATTTAGCGCCACACAGCGGTCTATGTTGTTCCACGAATCGACAGGCTCGTTCGGGGAAGTACCACGACGCACCTCATAGAAGACCGGCGTGAAGTGAAATTGTTATATACACATCTGCGTTCATCGTCCGTTGTGTAGGGTAACGGGGCCCACGATTAAAAAGTGGCAACGCGTCTGCAACCTTACTTGGGCGGCGGTACATAGCTAGCTCACTTGCCAATTTCTCACAAAAGTTGGATAGTTATTTTTTGCGAGCGCAAATCGTAGAACCACAGGAGACAAAGCATATTGAAGAAAAGTACATTCCATACAAATATGAACTGATGGCACAGTGATTTAATCGGTCACCTCATCACCTCGTCTTGCTGGCTATTGGCCTTACTCAAGCGAAATTAGTTATTCAGACAGCATCATCATCATTTCACCATTTCATCATGAGTCCACTACTGAACATGCCTCCCCTCCCACAGACTGTCACGAAGCACGATCCTGAGCCATCTGCATCCATCGACTTCCCGCACATTTGCACAGGTCGTCACTCTATCTAGTGGGGAGTCGTCCCACACTGCGTTGGCCAGTACGAGGCTGCCACTTGAGGACTTTCTTCCCCAACTGTTATCAGTTATACGAGCTATATCGCCGTCCCATCGTCACTTCGGCTTAATAACCTTCTGAGCTATGTCGGTTAGCTTTGTTCTACTGCGGATGTCTTAGTTGCGAACTCTATCACGCAGAGAAATACCGACCATAGCTCGCTCGGCGACGGATGTACATACGACGGACATACTGATATTAAAATAAGGAGATTGTCGGCTACATGTCATAGAGACCCGTCATGCACGGATGCGAACTTAGCAAGTTTTCTTCCTAAATTTAGGAAGAAGAAATTTACAATGGAAGTTTTTAGTAGGTAAATTAGCCAATTTTAGTGGATTTTTTTGAACGGTTGGTAACATGCCGTCATGCAGACAGTAGCATTGATTCCCGGTGCCCCTGCAAATTCACGCACTTAAATTGTTTTTTTCCCAAATGTACGAATAAATACCTTGATATACTCGTTGATATAAAGCACCAAAAAATCCCTTAGTCCAGTTAAACTATCGTCTCTATTTCATTTCTTTCTAAAAACTCTTTTGAAAGGAACCTTTTAAAAACCGTTGTAATATTTTTTACTGTTTTCATATAATAATCTCTTTCATACTTTCATATATTATATGTAGGAGATAGGATCTTTGACTTTTTTGTTTTTCACGTCGAAAAGTTTGTAGAATTATTAAATCAAAGGTTATTGTTGCAGCAATATTTTCGGCTTTGCCTGCATTATTCTTTACGTGATAAAAGGCAAAATTCCGAAAGTTTCGAGCTATAAGATACAGGGGACTTTCGACTTATAAAATCAACGTGGTTGGGTGGTGGGAATGCAAATAAATGTACCTTTAATAATAATTATTCAATGCGCTCTGGTAGCGTGTACACTTATATACGAATAATATTGGATGAAAGGATGAAACTAAATCCTTATTTATTTATTCATTTTATTTTAAAATGTTGCCTTTACTGTAGGATTAATGTATTCTGTTTTGTAAAAACTGTGTCTGTGCAAATGTCACGGAGACAAATTTCCTGATACGGGAAAATTATCTACCCATATACTTATCCGGTGTGGGAATCGAACCCACGACCCGCGGCCTTTTAGAAAACAGCAATAGTAATAGCAAAGGCAACTTGTTCAATAGATTTTTTTTTTTCAATTGATTTGAATAAGGTCACAATGAAAATTGGGAATGTTGACACTAATGGAAGACATTTTAAATTGAAAAAAAAAAAAAGAATTTTAATTTATGTAAATGTAAATATAAGAAATCGTAATAAAATATACGTTTGTAATTGATAACACATTTTATTGATATAACACATTATTTGCTTATTTTATTTCATTTTCGAACAATTATGTCCTGGGTTCACCTTCCTCTATTTTGGGCCATAATAAGTATTGTTAATGTACGAGAGAAAAACATTTTCTTGTCCTTATGAGATGTAGACACAAGGTGGTATTCCAATTCCTCCAAGCCTTGGGAAATTATGTTACAAAATCCACAGTGATACAAGTTGTGACGAATCTGAAAATTTAAATAATAATAATAATAAATAAATATATAAGTGCAAAACGTTCTCACTACGAGGGAGAATCTTGTACGGAGAGAGCTATGTAAAAAAGTAACTGTAAGGCCCTGGATTTGCTAAAAGGAAATGAGCCAGGAACTAGGTAAAGCGATGGGCCGATATCGACCTGAACCGCACTAGAAAGTATTTTGAGTAGTGATGGGATTATAATTATTCTATACTAATATTATAAAACTGAAGAGTTTGTTTGTTTGAACTCGCTAATCTTAGGGAGTACTGGTCCGATTTAAAGAATTCTTGCACTGTTAGATAGCCCATTTATTGAGGAAAACTATAGGCTTTTTAAGCGCGGTATAAAATGTGGTACATGCGGGCGGAGCCGCGGGCGAAAAGCTAATCGTGAATATAATCAGCGTGATGGAAATTTATACATTAGTAAAAAAGCCTTACCTCTCTTATAAACTCTGTGCTAAACTTGCTGCCGCTTAAAACTGTGACCCGCTGTATGTTTGCAACGTGTAAATACTCATTGAAATGCAAATGGAGGTCTCCGCGAATGGTATACTCGCAAGTTTGACATCTTGTAACATTTCCGTTGGTGGTAATTATGTTAAAACTCGAAAAATCAATGCAGATCTTTCTGTCTAATATACATAAGAAACCACCAAAAGCTTCATATACCTCTACTTTATTAATGAAGACGGAAGACAGTGTCTTAGTAATGTTATTCGAACGCGGTTTTCTGAAGTTTTCTCCGTGCGTTGGCAAAGCCACGTGTTCCTTCATCCTCTTCAAGGAGGATGATATTGTCACATTACAGATCTGGCAAAAGGCACTGTGATTGCCATACTTGAATTTGATCCCATTATTATTTGCAAATGATTTTGCTATCTGGACCGCCTCATGTGGCTGATAAAGATTGGCTGTGTCCGATTCTGAATCTAGATTTTTCCTCGAACTAGCTTCGTAGCTATTATCGTCAACTTTGCACGGTTCCTCGTCGACTGTTTTAATAATAATAATGGTTTTAAATTATTTATATATATATATATATATATATATATATATATATATATATATATATATATATATATATATATATATATATATATATATATATATGTTTATTTTTATCCATAATATTTATTTTATATATGCAATATATATCTATATCTTTATTTTTATTTATTATTTATAAACCCAACCAGACGAGAAAACAAATGGTTTTAATATATATCTAAATATAGTTTTATTTCTAAACCCAACCAGATGAGAAAAGAACTAAATATCCCATCAATAATAATAATCACCAAATGCTTGATACGTCAAAAAAGAAAACAAAAAGTACCAAAATAAACAAAATATTTATCGAATATTGGTCATCAAAAGGCGAACTTATTACTACACAGCTAGTTTTATCCTGACAGCTATCCATACCTTTTGGTGTTTCATTTTCGATTTCGGGCTTCGCTATTTTTGTTTGGGGCAAATTCGTTCCTTTCCTTGACAAATCCTTCTTTTTCGTGTCCGACTCTTGTGCGGGGTACGTAGTTGTATTTATAACGTCGTCAACATTGATGACTCTGTTGTCCATTTGACTATCTTTGTTCATGCAGCGAGTGTACAATTCTTTGCACTGTATATATCGTTTCTCATGGCTTTCGCTTTTGAAATGCACCCCAAATGTCTCCATGTGCAATAATAAATTGCATATCATACAATTAAAAAATTCACTATCCACCTGAAATTAAAAACATAATTTTTGTAGTGTTTTTTTTATGTGAAAATTCGTCAATCGAACAGACGGTTCACCTTATGTTAAGTGAATACCGCCGTCCATAGACATCTGCTACACCCGAGGGTTTGCAGATCGATGGCTCCTACGTAAAGTGGCGAAACTGCCGTTTACCAATTATTAGCGCAATAAGTTTATTTTGTGCCCTATTATATGAAAATAAAAAACAAAAAATAATTCTTGTTAAATCCAAAATTAAATTTTAGGCAAATAGGCGTATGTGCACAAATTAGTCGCGTATAAAGCCCCATGAAATGATCGGTCCATGTACGGTGTAGAGTAATCGCGTCGGAAATGTGGTGAAGGGGCGGACGTACCGCTTCAGTAGTTTTACTCAGTTTTTGGCGATTGTCTTTTGTAATAGCTATGCCGTGCTCGTGCCTTTTTAGGGAGGATTAATCTATAACTTAGGTGGTTTAAACAAAAATGATACATAAAAGGTGTGCAATTTACAAGAGCCCAAAAATTATAAATAAAATCATAAATAAACACAACAGCACTTATTTAAGCATCGAAGACGAGACTCGTTCCGGTCAGCTCGCCTTCCAGGAACAGACGCAAAAGTAAAAACACTACCACTCCTTACATTATTATAAAAATAATGTTTTTATTAAATACTAGCGGTTCGTCTTAGCATCCCACGGAAGTTCATTTATTTTTTGCACCATGGGTTACATTATTGAAGTTTTAGTAGGAATTCCTAATTCTTTCTAGTATTTAATAAAATATAGCTTATGTTACTCGTGGATAATGTAGCATTCTAATAGTGAATATTTGGAATTGGTCCAGTAGTTTTTGACTTTATTCGTTAAAAACACAAAAATATACATTCTTTCCTCTTAACAATATTAGAATAGATACTCACCTTGCGGAGAATATTACCCTCAAAGAACTCCAATTTCATTTGTATTAGTTTAAAAACGTGCGTCGAATCGTTCATATGCATATTATCATCCTTGAAATCGATGTCACATATAATACACGTGTCATCCACCAAACCGTGCCATGCCTTGGCCTCTATAAACACTTTATCGAACGCAAGTACTCCATTTTCAACTTCTTTCAGCAATAGTATTCCTCTATTATACTTATGAGTATCCTCCTTCACGTGGTGAGCCACCTTCGGCTTGGTAACGTGCAAAACGTTACAAAACTCACAGTAATATCCCCGTTTCAGCTGAAATACAAAAGCATTTGTATTTTTGAACAGAATTTTCAAAACACCTGATAATGTGTTTAATTAGAAAGAATATTACGTGTATCAACAATCGAATGCATAAAAATAAATAATATAAATTAAGGTATATTATCCAAAATACAGTATATATCAGTTAAAGGTTAATAAGTCTTTTTACTCATACCTAGGTACCAGATGAAACTATTTTTAAGGGCATTAATTTTATTTAGATGCTAAAATTTAAAAATTTGAGAAAAATGGTCGAAAAGTTTTGTAGTTTCGCAAGTTCTGCAAGAATTTTAACTCCCGGATACGCGCCCCACGCTCTAACCACTGTGCTAAGGATAGTGTCAATCGGGTTCGGACATCACACGATATATAGAACACTTCACAGTATTTTTTTTTTAGTTTTTTTTTATAGTGCTAATCTCTGCATTTAAGATTGAACATTAAAACATGTAGAAAAAGTACGAAAAGATTGTCGCCGCTGTGGGAATCGAACCCACGTCTTCGGCATTCGCGGCCTGAAGCTCTAGCCACTGAGCTAAACGGCTGATAGCCACAGCGACGAAAATGATGCGCCAAGCATTGAAGCAATGCTTAGCGCATCTATTGTTATATCCTTTCCAGCATACAAACATCACTACACAGTAGTTTAGTACTTTAACACTTCACAGTAGTGCGTGATAAACGTGATTTGTAGTATAAATTTAGATGCAAACACATTCTCTGGGATAGAAAAAAAATCAGTCGGATCAAATGTATTTTAGATATTTGGCCATTTATCACATTTCCAAGTAAGAATGTATAATAAGAATAACGAACAATAAAAGGCAGGTATACAAAAATTAACTCAACTTATCGGTTTGTACTTGGTTTTTTCCAGTATTTGTTTGAACTCTGTACTATTTTACAACACAATGAATTGCATTACCTATCAACTGCAGTCTCCATTTTGTTGTCATTCATCCAAAAGAAATACTTAAATATTAACCATAGTTTTGTCGACATTATTAAATAATGTAAGTGGACTTCTTGTAACGGTATATTATTATAAATTAATAAATTGGGAAAATATTTGGGCACACATATACAAGGGAGTCTTGAGCGGTGGCGTAGAGGAGGCATGATGGAATCAGAGCATCGTTTCATATGAAAAATTGGCAAATTTTCATTCATCTGGTAACCCTCGAATCACTCGCACATAGATCATACAATGCCTCAATATTGATATACGTGGCGAGGAGTCCTGTTATATTACTAGTTCGTGACTTCTCATTGTTTAAAAAGCATGTGCAGGGAATCAGAATTGTTTTATGCTCCAAATTCAACGGATATTTCCTTGATAACTCAATTATTTTTTATCTAATTTACCTTTACTGTTTCAGTTTTATTCAAAATAATACCAGAAATACCTCCAGACTATACCTCCCGTTATGAGTTAATTATCCTTTGAGATTAAGAATGATAATATGATAAATCATTTAGGTACTGACCCGACGGATACCATGGTCTTTGTAGCTTTCCAAGTATGTAGTTGATTTCATGCTTTCTTCATGCGTATTACATTGAATGTGCGTATAAACAGACTCTTTTGAAGGTAAGAGTTTTTCGCACGACAGGCAATAGGAGTTGAAGATTCCTGTGATTATGCAATTTTTCTGAAAGTCGAAGGTCATGTCCTGAAAATGCAACAGATGCTCAATATTAGCAAATAATCCAACAATAAAAACACATACCTACATATTTCTTGTATTTATGCAATTGTCTTAGGACACCAATCATAATGTATTAGCAAAAATTATCGTGTCGGTATATAATTTATATTTACACATAAAATAAAACTCCCGGTTAAGCAACGGTTATGGTCATATTATAGCCAATAAAAAACTGGCACAGTGAATAGTTTAAACCTCTCTATTTTATAACAACGAGTGTCCTGATAGTTTGGCCCTTTTTTCATAAAAAAATTTTACTATTTTCAAACATTTAAAATTATTTTCAACATTTAAAAATAACTTATTTTAAATAATAGTGAAACATATCGGGTGAATAAGTTTTAGTTATCATGATTTAGAAGTAGATTAAGATAGCTAACAGCCTAACCAATATGATATTATTCAAAAATTTATTATTATAAAAAATGCAAAGAAAATAGATGATGTTGAATTAAAAGCAAAATTGATTAGTATTGCTTTTATTAAAATTTTATTTTGATAAATGATGCAAATAAAATAGATGATGTAGAATTATAAGCAAAACTGATTAGTATTGCTTTTAATTCAACGTTTCAATTTTTTGAGATAATGCGTATTTGTGAATGATATCACGTATCGTCTATGTAGTTCTGTTATTCAACATCAATCGTATACATATTCTGTGCACTAGAGCCTGAAGTCATCAACGTTTTATATATCCTAGGTCTTATGTCAGTTACACTGTCACTGTCAGTTGTCAGTGGTTAGTGTCTACTATTTGCGGTAGGGTGGTGTGTTGTGCCTTGTTAGTTATAAAATAAATCGTACTGTTATTTGATCTAAATATGTTCTATTCATAATTTTTATCATAGAGACAAGATCTTATACATGACTTAAATTAGAAACGGGCTGTGTAAAATGTTTAAATGTGACTTATTGAGTGTTTGGTGCTTGTTTCATGTGTATTTCTTATTTTTATTAGCCCTGACAAAGGACACCGTTGTTGCTCAGGAACTAAGTAAGTTTTTATCCTTGTTTCTGAAAGTTTTACCCTTTTTGTTGTCTGTGTTTTTTAAATTAGTTTATTGCAAAATGTATATATGGTAGTGTTAATACTACCATATCCAAATTGTAACTATAAATTTGTTTTAATTTTACATCAGTTAAGTAGAATGTTTGTTTAGTTGATATAAATGTACATATCGAATACTGTTCCGTATCCTTTCTATTTTTTATAAACATTATTACACTTTTTCAACTATGTTCTGAACCGAGCTTAAATCTCTATTTAATGTTTTATTGTTACATTCATGTGTCGAATTTACTCTATGTAAATTTTAATACAGTTTAGGTGATATCAAACATTTTAGTAAAATTAAACATTATATTGATAGAATCTTCCACATCTCCACATTCATATCTTCTTGGGGTCTTCTCCAAGCTCAATAAAAAATATGTGTAGTAAAGTTTCAATATTACAATAAAAAACAAAACTAAATTTTTCTCGTGTATTTCTAATGGCCCAAATGATGTCAACATGAAAATAAACTTTGATGCGGGACTTTATACTCAACTAACCATATGGTTAACTTTATTCTGGTTAATTAAATACATACATACATGTTATTATTCTAGCTCTCTTTAATTTTATTTAGCAGATTTAAGTACTAAATTGCTTGCCTTTGAATAGTTTTTAGAATTGAGTTCATTGTGCGTTGTACTTTTTACCTGATATTTATATCAAATTATTGTGTTAAAATCAACATAAGAATGTAGAAGTTGTCAAAGGTTTTGAGAATGTGTTATGTTTCTTGTTATTGGTAACAAACAGAAAAATCCAATCATATTTGGTAAATCCTTACTTCCTTACTAATATTATAAATGCAAAAGTTTGTATGTATGGATGGATGTTTGTTACTCTTTCATGCAAAAACTACTGAATGGATTTTAATGGAACTTTACAATAATATAGCTTATACATCAGAATAACACATAGGCTATAATTTATATACATATTTTTATGTATATCTCTCTTTCTGTCTGAATGTTACACCTTCAGCAGATTCTACACAGATGTAGTCGCGGGCAGCGGCTAGTGAATTAATATATCTAAGTTCAGTGCACATTCTGTAATTCATAAAATTGACCTTATTATAAAGATAATTTCTCAACTTTGTATGATTGAAACATTTTTCCGTTACATTTAATATAAAATGCTCTTTTATCTTTACCCAAATGTATAATACCAATTGTAACCAAAATTTAAATGAAAACTGATATTTATCCATGATGTCTTGTCATACTTGTATGTTACTATTTTTATAATTTTTGTGTCTCTGAAAATTTGAACTGAATAGGACTTGAAACGACTTAATAGATTTATTTCATTGAAAATTATAAGGTTCAAAAAGAATTTAAAAATTGTTTGATTTTTTTTTATTGCCCCTTTAAAGTGTGTTAGAGTTAATGGCCTCTAATCATAACATGTAAAATAACGAATACTTTACTTCTTGAAGGATTGAATTGATAATTTTCGTTAACCGTTCATGGATGTAGTCTATGGTTTCGACTCATTCAGCACGAGACCAGTTTCCGATTGAATCACGACCGATTTCCGATACTACTGACGTACTGACTCACCCAAATGCTAATTGCAAGTCAAACTTCGTTCGGAAACAGACAATGAATTACCCATTCAGTTCATAAATGAAGCAATATAAATTCGCATATTATCAAACTGTCTCATATACACACACACACACGTGGTTTTTACGACAATTGTTTTTTAATCTCGTTAATGCAAGTTAATGTGTATTATTTAATTACGATTTTCTGACAAGCTTCATTGTATTTACCGCTTGCTAAGTTCTCGACATTGTACTATTGGAACCTGACAGAAAAATCATCTTTCCTCCTATAAAATTTTTGTTTTGTGAATTTTTGATTACCTATATCATAGGAAAAACCTTTTATACTTTATTTAATTGTACGGAAGCAATTAACAACCCTTAAGTGTGAGGATATTTTCAAGAGTAAAGTAATATTGGAACTCGAACTAAAAGTCATCACGAAAGATGTAGGTAATTTTAACCGAATTTGTAAATCGAATTCGAAGATGAATGATGAAAGAAGATGATTTCGTTCAAAATTAAGTGTTTCATCTTAAGCATGCTGAGATTAGCATTAGTTACAATGAAATTTCAATGTCTTTGTTCGTTTGTGTAGTGCCACTTATAATTATTTTCCGCTTAAAAATCAGTTGGAATGATACTTCGGCAGACGGGGCCAATGTCGCGCGCGTTTATCTGTATTCATCTTAAGTGAGATAGAAAGCAAATAGGTCAATATCGCCACAGAGCACATGGAATTCCTATGACTGGATCCGCACTATGGAACCGCATCGCCATATCTGATTATTATTTTTCAGTAGCTGTCTCTGTCCTTTTCAGAGCAGGCTTTTCCCCGATATAATTACCGCCAATGGTTTGCAACGCATCCGCGTTGCAAACCATTAAAATAAGTGGGCCCCGGCTACCTCACTCGCCAGAGGAAACGAAAGTATAATACTTCAACTTCACGTCCGTCTTTTCTTAGGCCATGGTTACCGAGTCTCGTTCGTCGTGGTCGGAGAAGCACTGCTGCCTCACTAAAGGCTGACGTGTTTTTTCGTGTCGTCCGATGAGTGAGGTAGACCGCACCGCATAAATGTTGGCAACGCAACTGCTAACTCATGGCTTTTGTGGTAATCACTTAACCGTACTGCTCGTTTACCATGTTATCTGCTAAAAAAGTAGGAGTATTGCAACATTATAACCTAAAATCGTTTTTTTTTTACAAAGTAATGGTATTACAATAAAAATACTGGAAGCCTCAACCGGTTCATGATACGGGAGAAAATGATTACTTCTAATATTTACGCGTTGAACTGTTTTACTGAAAATAATGCACATAATTTGGCTCTAAACACTTGTACATTGACGCTTCCATGGTCACGGGGACACCTATTATGTTTTACGTTCCACTGTCATAGTTAACTTAACGTGTTCGTGGATCGGTCAAAAATAATTCAAAGAGCCTCCGGTAACCTGAAGCAGTCGGTGTGATACTTATAAGTACCCTTCGTTAAAATAGCATTCTGCCTCCCCTTAGAAGGTACGCTGTGCTGTTATTATTATTGTTCGAACCAACGCTCTAGCTTTATGAGCAAGGGTCGCTGATTGATGACAGCTTTTCGGGCACACCGCCCATAACAATAAAGACATTGGCTGAGGCCGTAAATATTATTTTCAATCTGCTTTTACCACCACCAAACAATTGCTACGCATACTTTTGAACGCGCGTCCAAAGTGTGCCGAGATTTGTTTATTCCACGTACGTCAGCGCTCGACCTGGAAGCTTTTAAGACAACTTCGCAAACGGACGAGTTTGATGCAAGTTGTACGTCTCACTTCAATTACTTAGCCCGTCAAAGTACTACTTCGTCAATGAAACCAGTGGTGGAGGGAGCGCGAAAAAACGTTACCCGAAAGATTTGTTTGAACAATACCTTAGTTATAAAACTGAAATAAACATTTTTCAGCGTCGAAATCTACAGCAGGCTTATGAATTTGTTTAAACCCTCTTTTCTTATATGTTCAGTCTTTATCTTTCCTGGGAATGGTCGAATCAGTTGAGGTTGTGATTGGTTCTGTGCACACTTCACAGTGGAGTGAATGCCTTGCCTGTGTATAAATTAACTGTGGGTGTCGACTATATTCTACTGTAATGGAGTGTTCAAATGATTATATTATGATTATTATATCAGTACGAGTTCGCAACTGTGCTTTTAAATATCGTTTGAGCGACCGTTT